ATCACACTGTTTTCTGATGCTCTGGTTGCTGAAGGTTTTGTGACAGTTTACAATCACAGCAAAACTCCTGCTCGGCACAAGCTTCTTAAGTAACAGAAGAAGTGACTGGAGAGGAAATAAAAAAATTAAATTTAAAGCTTGTTTTAACCTTAATGGCAATGACAATAGTTCTGGGTTTTTCTGGGCGTCAGCTGCTCTTTTTGGCAGTGCGGTGCAATAAAAATCAATAAAATTAGCGGAACCATTCAGTTCAGAGATTAACAGCATGTCTGTAAATGTGAAAATGCTCACAGTATGTGGCACTTTTTGCTCATTTACAGTACTGAAGAAGAATGATACAAAAAGATGCATTTATGTTGCCTACAGTCCAAATGCAGCAATGAAGACAGATGCAGTATACAGATAGTAGATAAAAACGGAAACACCAATGCAAAGTTAGTGTTTAAGCCTCCACACGTGTCCAGTACCACCTGGACTAACAGTATTGGGAATTCTTCAGGAAAGATGCAGGACCACTGATCCACAAAAAAGTCAAACAACTCACATGATTGGTGGAGGTCAAAAACACTGTCTCGGGTCTCTCATTCTAGAATGCCACATAATTTCACCACCGATCTCAGGTCCAGTGTCTGAGAAGGCCATTACATATTAATAATATCAGTGTCATACACATCCAACCCCTGGGAGACCCCACGTACTCCATGGATGGGGCAGTGTCATCCCACAAGACACCCCTCATGACTGAGATAATGCTGTATTGGGGGGCAAAGACCATGAAGTAGCGACAGCACTGACCTTGCCTTCTAGGGGAATGCGTGTACCTAGACCATGTCAGGAAAACACACCCAACAACATTACAGAACTGCTCTTTACTTTTGAAACCAAAGACTTGGGGCAGTAGAGATTCTTTAGGTTGGTTATACCCATGCATCTGACCATATCATGTTTCTCCATTGCTCCTGCTTGTACTCCTTGTATCACTGGAATTGCAAACATATGTATTGCCAGGCAAGAGTGGTTAATGCACTGAAACCTGACTATGGTATCACGCTTCGCGGAGTTCTTGGTGAACCATATTTGAATGAACTGGCTGCTTGAAAAGACAAAAAGACTCCAGTTGGGGCAGCATGCTGGAGCAATGTTTAGTATTGCTGGGATTCAATTGTCCATAGGTTCAATCCTGGACCTGGGGTGTTGGGTCAGTGGGTGTGATCAGTGTGGAGCTTGCGTTGTCTCCCCGTGTTCATGTCCAAGGGCTCCCCCCACAGTCCAAAGACTGGCTTCTGGGAAAAGTGGCCCTGGTGTGAGTGTGTGCGTGCCTGTGCGCCCTGTGACGGACTGGTGTCCCATCCAGGGTGTATCCCGCCTAGCACTTGCTGTTTGCCAGGACAGGCTCTGGCTCCCCCACGACGCCATACTAGATATAGAGGTTAGGATACGGATGGATGGAAATCTGCCATCACTTCATCTTGCTTGTTTAACCATGCATGTGTAGCAGAACAGTGTAATACTAATGTGCTTCACACTGTACTACTAGTTTATTTTGTTATGCATTTATTAGTTTAGCGCCAGTAAATTGTCTTTTATTGTTTATGTTGGTGGTAGTTGTTCATAATGTAATAGAACTGCATAGCAATCTGCTTTACTGTGTGAAATTACACACTCTGTGTGGCTTGCTGGAATTTATTTCTTAGAAAGGGGTTAAGCACAAAGTGTGAATTTTGTTTAAGGAGCTTGAAAAATCAACATTTCTGTTGTTTCAAACCAGCATTTAAACTCGCACCCATAAGCTTTTAACAATCCACCTCAGGCAAGTACTCCTGCAACAACAACGAATAAACTCCCCAGAATAGCAGAATAAGTCACATAATTTTCCATTTAACTTTGTCAGACTGTCTTACATGCAAAGAAGTCCAAGAATAAATTTCAACAGCATGATTATTCACAAGACAAAGGAGAGGGAGGAAAAAAAAGTCAAACTCCACTGTCAGGCAATAAAGCAGAAAGACTGACTGGTCAGTATACTTGACAATGTCTTTCTAGAGTCCAATATGAATACTTTCCTTTCATTTGCTGGGACAAACAGATTTGACTGGCTTCTTTGTATAATTTTCAGTATGACCCGGTAAAAAAGGAAATACCAAAAGTGCTATCAGAGCAGAATAATCAAGCAAGAACAACAGTGAACCACCATTATGCCAAAGTCGGAGCTATAGAATCAAGATCAATGGATGACACTTTGGTCTCCGTACACCATTAACATCATAAAGCTATCGTATCCTAATAACTTCAATAGCCGTGGTGGCAGCAAGCAAGAAAAGGGCATTCTGGAGGACTTTTTTAAAAAACGGTTAATTCTGCCATTCTGCCAAACTGTATAGACCAATTGAATACCCCAATGTGGATACAGTGGGTGTGAGCTGGACTTTCTTCCTCTACCTTCTATTTTATCAACGAGACAGTATAAGAGAGTCTCCCTCTGTGTTCCTTCCTTGTCTGTGGAAGTCAACACAGCTGCTATCCTGACCCTTGCTGAAGGCACGTCCAAACGGTCCCAAGACTGGCCGAGGCAGCTTTGACATCAGAAAAGAGATCTGTTTTAAAAGAGAGTCTATGGCAACCATGTGAAAGGAGCTGTCCATCAGAGAGCCAAGACAGTTCACTCGGTGTGTCCCCGCAAAGAAGAGCAGTGTCTGCACTTGGAGCCCAACAGGCAAGAAGCTGCTTCTTGGGATTTGTCAACATTGGTTTTGGGGGAAAGATATGCCTGGCTGCCAAGCTAATGAATCTTTGGCGAGGTTTATGTTGGTGCTTTGGCATGAATGTTACCCTTTACGCAAATGCTTAATATTTAAAGAAACATTTTGAATAGATATGGGAGCCCCTGCAGCCATTTTAATATGAAGCCACCTGAAATCCAGCCCTTTATGAAGTCATTTTTATTTCTTTAGATATTTAAGTCTAAATGGCAAGGCTTCTTATAATAAATAACATAATGAGCCTGCAGTGGACAGAAAAGCAGGTAAACTTTACACCGCCTACTGTCACAGCTAGCATGAATTTGACACATGATGACATGGCCAGTTGCTTCATTTCCATTAGGAAAAACTTTCAAGACAAGTAATATAACTTTTAAAACCATAATTTTCATACAATTGAATATAACCTTTGGAAGACAAAGTGATGAATCCAGTCACAAGCTCTAAATTACTAGTATCAGTAGCTACTTTTAAACCTAGCAACACATTTTCAAAATATATCAGGAATATTATTCCGAAAGGTTTACGCTTTATACTTTGAACTCCACATCAGCCGTAACAGGGCGCTGTTTTTATATTTGGAAAAAACAAGCAAAGGTTTTGTTGCAAATCAGTGAAATTGTTTCATCGTCAATTTCAGCTCTGCAAAAATTAATCTGCATCTTAGCACACTGTATGTTCAGCCTGTGATACAATACATTTCCATCTCTTGGATAACCCAACCCCAAGAAACATAATAAACTAGAATCAACAAATGGGGAGGGCATTAAACTCCTTGTTTGTATGTGAACTGACCTTTAACTGACTGAGAGGGAATAGGAACATGTTGCAGTCAAGGAGTTGGCTCTCCTGTTTCTGCAACACTGTTGCTAACCATACATTTGAATGTCAAAAAGCTGAACACGTGGTGCTTGAATTTATTGCACAGAGCTTTAAGAGCACTCTGCTGGATGTACAATGAAAATGTTAAATATACTGTATCCAGAAGAAAAGCTAAAGCTCGAGGATGAACTAGAAAATTTCCCACGTGATTTGAAAGCTGGTGAACTGGTTTGATAAGATGGTGCGAAGAGGATTCTTGCAGAAAGGCGACCCTCAGTAAGTAAACGCGTTACAAAAAGAAACTCACTGATTATTCACTGTTTGAACTAACTGCACGGACTAACTGATATAAGTCTTTTTACTAAAATTTTAAGTTGCATAGTAGGTACTGTTATTACTAACAATGTAGTAAACAAAGACCGGACAATTATCATCTATAATCATCAATGGAACCCTTATATATATATATGAAATAACATTTCTTACACTTTTTATGTGATTGTAGACATATATCTGCCCTCACAATAATATAGTGAAAAGCCATTTGGACATCTATGATAGAACACTGGACAATTACATTTTAATGCTCTTAATTGAATTGGTATCACTACATAATTGATCTTCGCTGTAGCTTTATAGAGTGAGTGGGATTGGTGTACTCCCTGAATCTTTAAACATCAAAATGAATATGTTACAAAATGATTAAAGAAGAATTGTAGGGATTGTATTTTACATTGCACGTAGGGATTTTTCATACAATTTTCATTAAGAACCATGTATAATGCACAAAAATAAAAAGGGAGTAGATTTACTGTACATTACTCACCGTCAAAGAGAATATCTCAATGTACACATGAAACCAGCTGAATTTTAAGTTATTGTAGTTAAACTTGTCTGGCCACAACTAAATACTCACAGCAGAAACACAGACCTTTTTCGGAAGCTTAAGGAAGGAAAGTTCAGGAACGAATGACAAAATAACTTTTTTCACAAACACAGCTGAAACTCTAGAATAGTTTGAAGATGTTGTGGAGGTGGAAAATGTTTGGTCTTTTCAAAATCTCTATGACTTTTATAGGAAAGGTGGCACATCTGAATGCTTCAGACAACAAACATTACATATGTTTTCTGCAATATTTTGACATAATCTAAAATTATTTCATAAAAATATTCTAATTTCTATTTAAACTAATTATAATATTTATTCATCACATTTGAAAGCTGGGATTTTTTAAAGCATCTAGGAAAAGCTTTCAAAATTAGTTAAGACAACGTCACAATTTTTAAAAATGCAGACCTTTTTGGAAATAGTGCATCTCAGTACAAACCAATCTGCTGAGCATGAAACTAATGCCTCTGGAGGACTGAATGTTACTGGTTTCAATGATTTAAAATATATGGATATATAAATGTTCCCACCTTCTTGTAACGATACAATGGGAGGCATATAATCAGGAATGTATTCCTTTCTCTCTTCGGCATCCTTGCTGCCAGCCTGGGGGAACTGCAAGATGTTGTTTTTGCTGACAGGAAACAAGGGGATTTGATGTGCAAAGCCCACCGGCTCCAGATTGTGGACATAATCTTCTAGCTCATTCAGGTTCACTCCCAGTAGCTTGAATGCTTGCCCAACGTCATCTAACACAGGATCCGTGCGGCCATCTGAAAGAAGTACAGATAATTATTAAATATGTGTCTGTCATGCATTTAAATGTACTTAAACATTTGGGACAGTGCCTTGATAATTTAACCAGCCTGGAAGAAATGTTCTAAGGAACCTAGGGATACTAGTATGAATTCTAAGGTAACGCAAGGGCTTGTATCACCTAATTGCTGATGGTTTCAAGAACAATAACTGCTGATTATCACTGTAATAAAGTCATTATGGTAAAGGAACATGAACTTCATGCAGAGCCAGTGCAATAAATAAATAAATAAGCATACCACCTAGGAAAATCTGTGTATCCCTTATATAAATAAGATCTCAGAAAAGCTTTTGTAAAAACTCAGATGTCCAAACTGCAAATCTGTTGATTATCAGGTTTTCCTCAAGCATGCAACTTCACTTCCCTCTATTTAACAGAAAAATCATTCAGAACCAAGAGATCGAATTCAGCAAAACAACCACATGTACACAGCCCATGCTTCATCATTTAGAAGCTGGGGAAACTTTACACCTTACCTAAAAAGGTAAAAGTTAATAAAAATGACAGTAGACAATGTTCGATTTCTGAATTTGTGCTTTTATAAAAGCATGTGTGAAAAAAACGGATGTTTTACGTTTGGAATACACATGTAAGACGTATCCTTAAAAACGAAATTAAAAACTAAATGGTTGATGAAATTTGTGTCTTGTAGATTCCTGCAAGCATAAAGTATAATTTCTAAACAATAGGTATAATAACCCAAGTTCATTATTTTTTGACAGGACGAAACAACACTTCCAGCAGCTAATTGTTCAATTATTGCTTCGATAGAACAATATGCAACAAGGACGGAGAACACCGGGTTAATGGAATATCTGAGTAAGTTAAATGTGAAAATATTCAGGTGTCATTTCGCACTGGACCCTATTACTGTATATTTACCGTTTTCCGGTTTTAACTAAACGTTTTTTAAACATCATCCTACAATTGTGTTGCTGCTGACCAGTCAGTCGGTTTCTAAGTGTATATAGTTCCCTCCCTTTTCCGATGATATGTGATATATAGGCTCATCAGCTAGCGACACACACCTGTAGGAAACTAATGATGTACTGGCAGAAAGCACCAGAAAAAACACCGAATCGCTGACTTCTTTGCTTTTGCCTAAATTTTAATAAAAGTTTTAAAGAATGTTCCCTTTTTACTTGCGACTGCGGCATCTTTGCCAGGTTATTCCTTACTGTAAAACAAGTTGGTTCTGTGCTGGTGCTACCACGCACCTCCTGTCATACTAGGCCTCATCAAGAGAAAGCAGGAAGGAGTGGAGTTGTTGCAAAGCGATAGCACTGTAAATCCACACATAAATACTCACAGAGCTCCGAGTAGCGATGGCATCCCCTGGCCAGCTGCTGGATATACCTGTGCAGGACATCAGTGAGGAGGTCGCAAGCCGTGAGCTGGACCGAATCCCAGCCTAGAGCTTGGCAGATCTGCGCCACGGACACTCGCAGCAGCGAGCGAGCATAGCTCTCACACATCCCGCTGGTTCCTTTTTGGGACCTTTAACTTTTCAATTCCCGGTAAGAAAGGTGTTTCTTGTCCTCATGATGCATTAAACCCAGAGGAATGAAAACAAAGTCCAGACAATAAACGTATTGTTGACATCTAAAATAAACCATAGGTTGGCGCTAATGCAGAAGCGGCCATCTTGATTCCACTCACAGACCATTGCCGAGAACATCGATGAGGTCCGCACATGAGCAGTGAGAAGTTAGACTCGATTTCGCGTCTATCAGCTCGTAAGTCTGAGATGAAGAGCATGCTCTCTTGTAGCAAAACAACGCAAAGTTCAAAGTTGTTATTCGTTTTAAAATGAAAACAACAGAACCTACGCAGTCGTGTTATTTTGAATGGCGCATGGTCTTATAAAATATTGTGCGAGTTCCCAATTGTAACAGTACGAAAAAAGGTTTCGTGTGTTTTTAATCGGTAGCATATATTAACCGTCATCTTGTTTCTTTTATCGCCGTTGTTGAACTGCTGTTCTTCTAGTACTTAAAAATACACGTGGCCTGTATTTTGTTATTTTTACTTTTTTATTTTAACAACAAACAGCCGGAAGCTGGAGTCTATGATTGTGCAAGCAACAGGCACAACCATAGGAAATATAATCATATAGTAGCACAAATATAGGAATATACCCGGGGCCGGGTGCCAGGCCGGGTGCCAGTCAGGGTGCACAGACACGCACACACTCACGCCAGGGCCAGTTTTCCCAGAAGCCAATTAACCCACCAGAATGCCTTTGGACTGCAGGAGGAAAACCGGAGCAGACTAATGAGAAACACTTTTTATTACTGTGCACCTGTGTAAGTTTAATGACAATAAAGTTGAATTGAATAAGTAGGAAACCCTTGTGAAGACGGGAAAGACAAAAAGGTCCACGCAGATGGCAGCCCAGGTATTGAACCCATGGCCCCAGGGCTGTAAGGTAGCAAAGCTAACCAGTGCGCCCCCCGTGCCACCGTTATAGCACTTGTAAAATATGATAGTTAAAACACAATTACTAAACATTTTTTACGACCTGAAAATAAAATGTTACGATTCCTCGTATTATTAAGTTCATTCAGTCCAATTGTGCAACTTAGAACTCGGCTCTTGCATTTTAAACGAGAAAAAAGCAACATACACACGGTCCATGTGCCAAGTCCAGTAAAGGATTAGCCCGTACTTACAGGATGTGTCTGCAGTTATTTCCTTCCAACTAAGCTCTTGTTTACTTTAATTTGCTCTTACTGGGTCCAGTTAAAGACTTCGTTCTGTTTTTCAGGTGCTGCTGCCTAAGACACTGAGACAACTTGCAATCACACCATCCATCCAGGACCAGAATTGGACACTCCCAGACCAAAGTTTTTAAGTATCCTTTTTGTTCTTTTAGAAACCTTTGATTCATTTTTTTGCCCGATACCATTAAGTATTTGTAAAATGGGCTTCAGTGAATTCTGAGATATGGCAAAAGCTCTCGTAGCTTGAAATTCAAGTTATTCCATTTGTTAATGTATACATTAACCAGTGTGAAGCATTTTGGCTCCACAGTTGTTTTATTTGAAATGTTACTTACTACATTAATTAAGCAGATTAAAGCACTTTTTGTCAATTGCTTTTGGGTTTTGTTGAATACTATTGATTTTTTAGTAATGATGGTATTGTCCCCGTTTCAAGCACAAAGTGATCGTTTCTTTTCATAAACAATATGATGAAAATAGTTAATTCATTTATCAATGAAGAAACCTTATACTTTAAAATAGTACATCTGGAAATACTCAAGCAATAACAATATTCTTTGATAGTATACACCAATATGAAAAGTTCACTATTCCGTAATGTAGATCTTCAATATAAGTTATAAAGAGTGGAGGTTTCAATACAGATCCTTGTGGTACACCACTAATCACGTTTTGAGCTTTTACCCCTTACCTGTACTTTTTTGGAGAATTCATATTATGAGGAACTTCAAGTATTGTAAAAATCATCTGGTCAACTTGTATTCATTACTGCTACTGCTGAAGTTCTAACGAGATAAACAAGACCAACTGTTTCTCCTTGAACATATTGACGCAGATGGATGATTATCTAATTAAAATTCCAATAACACTGATAGTAGGAAAAGTAAGACTTATTAATCTATACTTTGTTCAATTTTTTCACCTTTTGAATAGATAGGTGTATCCATCATTGTGTATTTACCACCTTTTTGAGAGACTGCTGATTTTTGTTGATGGGCTATGAATTATTGAACAATTGTACAATTGGTAGGATACCATCAGGCCCTGGAGATTTTTTTTAAATATTTTTAAAATACTTTTAACAACTTCCACTTCTATGCTATTTAATATAGAAGATTTTTTCTTCAGTCTGCAGAATGTTCTTAAAGTTTTCGCTAAACAATAGGGGGAAATATTAGCCCTTTTAATCTATTATCAACTCTGGGGGACAGTTCTTTTACTGTTGTAATACAAAATTTTAGTATACTGTACCTTATTCTCTCTCTACCTAATATCCCTTTCACTTGTGCTCCCCTTTTTAAAAATCTTTGAGTTTGTTTCATATGGAATTTGTGGCATTTTATTCTATTCCTAGTAGCACATACTGTATCCTTCATGATTAACCTCTCTCCTTAGCAATTCAACTTCACTACTCGGCTTAAACACAAAAAATAACCTTAAATTTGATATTCTTATATTAGGATTTAAAAAATAACTGCAATGATACAAAAAGCTTCAGTATAACAGTATACTGATACAGTATAACAGTAGTATACAAGTTATCACTAATACTATACAGCTCTTGGGTCCCAAGTTCTAATTCTAATTCTACTGTAGGGCATCTTCTGCTTGGAGTTTGCATATCCTCCCCAGGCAATGCTCCAGTTCTCCCCTACATTCCTGCAACCTGCTGGCATCTCTAAATTGCCCCCCCCCCCAAAAAAAATTGCTCTTTGTATTATTGAACAAATACTGTTCTTTTTTAAAGTTAATAAACACTCATACATCAGACGACTTTGACTTATGAGATTTGAGATTCTGGTATAGGTACCATTAAAATAGGTTAGTTTTGCATTAAACAGCGTGGGAAGAGGCAGAAATGTGCATTGTAGATCTAGCTGCAGAACAGTGAAAAAGTTTCTCAGTCTAACACTGGATGCAGCCAACTCAAACTAAGGGTTTGCAGACTTTCCTACTATACTTTATTTAAAATTTAGTAAACGCGGCTCATTTTCAAAATGTTTGAAAACAAGAAATGGGTTATTTTCCATTGCAGTATTGATCTATACTTTAATGTTTTCACAACTTGTAGAACACAATTTGTTTTTGCTTTTGTGTAAAACGCAAATTATCAAAGGAAAAAAAACAATTACAATTCTGTGTAAGATGTTTATTCGAAGATATTTTACAAACAGAGGATAGTTTCACGAATACTTGACAGAACTGATGATTCTCAGCGTGGGCACCAGAACCTTACTGAAACTTGATAATAGCTGGTCTTCCATGTTTATCTATAACGAAAACATATAAAACTGGTTATAACAAAAGTGCAATGTATATTAGATCTGTTGATTGCTATGGAATGAAAATAAACCAGGTTGTCTAAATGAACTAGATCCACAGGCAGAACAAAGCACTAACTACTAACAGCTGAAGTAGATTTAGGCATAAAGCATATGTCATAAATCTTTAATCTCTAAAAGGTGAAAATGCCAAGCCACAAAGGAGATTCAAAACCATACATGTCTTCCAAAAATATTTAATTAGGGAACAAACTAACATGAAAATCACAATATCTAGTCTAAGGCACGTTACCTCGGTTTTGGTTCTGATAAAACCACACTTCAATCTCTGAAAACATGCCAGAAATAAATCAGAACAAAGGATCAGTTGAAATAAAGAGTAACCTTTAAACTACATCTTTAACAAAGGATTAAATCCTGATTGAAGTTTGGCCTCAGGAAATGGTACTTCACTAAGTAGTAATACTCATTGATTTCTTCACTGACTAGACGGGGAAATCCTACAAAAATGTTGCAATTCAAAGCCTGTGTCTGCCAGTACATAAACATTATTTGAAGCCATCACATTGACACACCTAATTTAGGTATTTGGAATTAGCTGCCACTTCACGCGAGACAGGAACACCCAGGAGTGTTAAGAGTACATTGTTGTCCATTGATGATTTAACAGGGATCATATTCATATTCCAAAAACATAAGATTTTATGATTTTATGATCATGTGTTTGTTTAAAATGCAGGTTTGCATTCTCTTAGCTCGGAGATATTCACACCCGTTCCCGATGTGCTCTAGTTCACCAGGTTTTACAGGTCAATGAGTCCAGACTGGAATAAAATCTAAAGACATGGTGGCTCTCCAGGACTAGGAGTGAATATCAGTGCCTTGGCTCAGGGGACCTCCATCCTGGTCCTGGAGGTCCAAGCACCTTCTGGACTTTGTTCCAGTCAAAGCCCCGTTTCACAATTGAACATGAATCAGGATTCACTTGAAATGCTTTACTGTTTGTTTTCAACTCTTAAACATGTTGATGTTTGATTTGTAACAACTGCAGTTCTTAAGGACAATTAAATTACTGAATGGACAAAATAAAAAACTTGTAAATATTCCAATCTAGCTACTTGTTATTGCAAATAAGGCTTCAATCAGGTGGAAGAAAAACTGGAAGGTTTGTGGTTTTCCTGGATCAGGACAAGAACTCTGCCTTAGCTGTTTATATAATAGGGCACATCGTACTTTTACTCAGGACAGCAGACCAAAAAATGATCAATATGAAATACATGTACAGGGCATCATAACATAACATCATTAGCCCTATACAATTTCTTGCATTAGGAATTCGTCTTTACGCATACCCCCAGCTTGCTCTCAATGAGACACACAGACAGCGAGAGAAGCTTGGGGTCAGAGCGCAGGGTCAGCCATTGTACAGCGCCCCTGGAGCAGTTGGGGTTAAGGGCCTTGCTCAGGGACCCAACAGAGTAGGATTCCTCTGCTGGCTGCGGGATTTGAACCGGCAACCTTCCAGCCACAGGCGCAGATCCTTAGCCACAGAGCCACCGCTCCACCCCCCAATGGCGATGAAGACTATTTATGAAGATAATTACAAGTCAAAATGACTTATGAACATTTTATGGCAACTAGATTTTGATGCCAACTCTAACCAAATGCAACAGGGGAAGATTATGAAAGTGAACAGTGTTTTACTTACAGAGCAGCAGCACCAGAGATGATCTCAATAAGTTCCTTGGTGATGACTGCTTGACGGGTGCGGTTGAAAGTAAGCGTCAGCTTGTCAATCATCTCGGCTGCAAAGAACAGAGCGAAAGATCTTTAACAAAATCACACCTTCAGATATTACGTCATTAAGAGAATCCCTTTTGGAGAAGTCAGAAGTCTTTAAATTGCTCAAATAGACCAGCTTAGACTGTGTCAATCGGTTTAAAAAAATGTGTTTTACAAGATTTGGTTCAGAATATAATCATACAGAGAGGTTTAAAAATTTGACATTACAAAAATAGTGTTAGTTTGCAGAAGACTGGACTATTGTAAAAGGCAAACTCAGAAAGCTCTTTCATAAATTCTGAAAGTCTAAAATGCATTTTAAAATAAAAATATACAAATCATACAAGCATTCTTGCTAGCACTGTCCATAGCAGTCATCCTAGCACTCTGCTCGCTGGTGGTTGACTCCTTCAAGCTGAAGTAAATGATATTGGTCAGAGCAAACTCCTGGTAGTTTCGCAGAACATCTGCATCAATGTCATCATAGACACCAATGTTTTCTGAAAGGACCAAAAAATAACACATTATACACAGGCTTAATGCATCCATCTGTTGTTTCATTAATATAAATTTTAATGTAATTCTGATCATGTGGTGGAAATGTTCCAGATAACTCACAAGATACACATAATAGCAAGTATATCCCATTTCATTTAATCAAAACATTTTTTAGGTAAATGCAAAGTGTTTTTTTTTTCTCTCTCAATAACCTGCATGGGAAATCCAAACCAATGGTGTTCAGAAACTGCAGAGAAGGTATTTCTGAAAATAAAAATCCTAATTTTATGTTTATAATAGGCATTCATGCAATGTATGTCTCTGTGAAGAAAATAAAATTCTGTGTTCAAGTTAACGTAATGGCACTGATTCTTTTTCAAAACCATTTTCTCTTTTATAGTGGAACACAGAAGCCAGCAACCTTATCATTGTATGCCTGTTAGCATAATCAGATTATTTATCACCTATTAGTTAAAGCACCTGGGATTTCAACAAAATGAGCTGCTGGAGAATTCCTGAACTGCTTCTACTTGCAAGCAAATAGCACCTTTGCTCATCATCACACTGCTTCATTAGCAACAAACACTTAATAAGCAGTATATTTGTAAAAAGAATCCTTCTCATTGGATAACATACCTGAATTGGCAACGGTGTCAAGGGAGAACAAAGGCTTTTCCTCGGTCCTGTACGAAATAACAGACCTAAGAAAAAACAAAAGAAGCCGTTTTAAATGCAACCCGATGCTGAAAGCTCCAACGTGCGAGTTTAAAATGAGGTTCTGGATTTTTACCTGAATCGGTTGAAAATGATGGAGCCTTGGTCAAATTCAAATCCGGAATCGAGCAGCTCGGTGGCAATGGTGGCAGCATCCCCAAAAGTGGGAGGTTTGCGTCCTACTTCCTTGCAATTGAGTAAGAAGTGCTTTCCATGGGTCCTGCCAGGTAAAGTTCAAGTACCTTTATTGCCATTTGCACGAACAGCGCGTTGGAAATCTTTCACCGTTTCACTCAGTCAGAGAACATAAAGACAAAAGGGTAAACACACAGACTATGTGCAGGACACTATATACACAAACTGAAAAAGACTCTACACAACCTGTACACACTATTATGCAAAAAAAAAATCCACACAAGAAGAATGGCTCCTAACTTACACGTGATAAAAGACATTGCGTCTACGGAGCTGAGGTAGATGTGGGCCTCCTATATGTTATGCCGGTTGGCACTGTCCTTGGGAAGAAACTGTTCGTAAACCTGTTCCTTCGGGTCTTAATGCTCTCTTTCCCACGACGCCGAAGGTTATGTTTAGCGTCTCGCCAGGTAAACAGACTTTGGCTAGGGTGGAGTGGGTCTTTGAGGATGTCGTGAGCCTTGCTCCTGCAGCGGGCTGTACTGAGATTCTCCAACAAAGCAAGTTCTGTTCCAATGATATGTTTCGGCTGTTCTAATCGCTCTCTGGAGAATGTGTTTGTACTTCTGGGTAGCACCGCCGAACCACACTAATACCTCCAGTCACAATGCTCTCAATGGCACAACGGTACAAACTAACCAGTGCTTTTTTGTGGGTGCCACTCCTCTTTAGGCACCTCAGAAAGTACAGACACTGCTGGGCTTTCTTCACAATTGCACTAATATTCTCTGCCCAGCTCAGCATATTGGTAATATGTAGGCCACGAAACTATATATAAAGTATAAATGAGTGCCATTGTAAAAAAAAAACACATAAAAAAAGTTTTTGTTATTGATTTACAAGAAAGTACATTATGGACTTTTCTTTTAAGGGCAGTACTTAATACAAAGTTGGTATCGGCTTTCAATATTTTGTCTGTCTTCACTTCAATAAAAGTGAAAAATAAAATGGCCAGGACTCAAGAAAAGCAATTAAAAACAAAAACAGCGTGCAGCAACAACAGACATTTGTTATGAATGACTAAAGTCAATTACAAGATCAGTTAACAGGACTATCATAAAGTAGGGATTACCTTTGAAGGATACCTCTCAGCTTGTCCCCAACACTAACCACCATGACCTCCTTCCCGGCGCTGGTCAGACTGGCGATTTCATTCTTCATGGCCTTCGCAATGCTGGAGTGAATAGCACCACACAGACCACGGTCGGAAGAAACGCCAATAATGACGTGCTTATTCTTGTCTTCTGGAGCCTTGATCTCTGCCTTTTCATACAGAGCTGGAAAAATATCAGAGTCACTACTCAAGCTTGGCAGGTAGTTATTACAGTCACCCAAAAGCCTGTTTATCCCACTTAAAACATCTTAACTGTCCCAACCTATCTATTTCCTAATCACTTTATTTAATTCAGGATCACAGGGGAGCCAGAGCACATCCCGACATGCAACAGGCACAAGGCTGGGTACACTCTGGATGGGATGCCAGTCCATCACTGGTAACAAAGGTTACCACTGACTCAGACACACACGCTCACACCAGGGCCAGATTTCTCAGAAGCCAATTAACCTTCCATTATGTCTTTTGATGTGAGAGGCAACCAGAGCACCTGGAGTAAACCCACGTGAACACATGAACATACAAACTCCACACAGATAGCATCCCAGGTCTGGAACTGAATCTAGGGCCCCATCTCAACAAGGCAGCAATGCTAAACACAGTACCACCATGCCAGCCCATCTGAAGTTATAAAATAACTCAACAGAAGTATAGATTATTCTATAGAACTTTTTTTCCCCCACATAAGCAGAGAAGATTATGTGGCAAGTGCTTTACAGAAGTGTAAGTAAAAGCCCTCAGCGTCTTCGTCTTTAAATCCTGTTTTCTACAATGTAAAATCTTCCTTGAATAATAATGCACTATTTTAAAAGACATTAATATATCATTTTATAATTTTTAAAAATCTGCTTTTAAAATAACACAAACAGCATTTTTTTCTGAAAGACTAGCTTCCATTTTGGCAAATATCTAAATTAATATATTGGGCAGTTTGTGACACCCTGTGACAAACTCCTGGAAACTAATAACATACCCAGGGCCCCAGTTCCATAAACACGTGCAGGTTTCAAAGATCTCTCAGCCCTTGAATATTTTGCTGCAGCAACCATTTTCATGGATTTGGTGATCTTCTGGATGTTCTTGATGGACTTCAGGCGAATGGTGACTAGAAAAAAATATATACACTAAGAACAATTGCAAGAGATTTTTAAAAAGGTTTTAATCATTTCAACTGATCACTGCATGGAAACAGGCTAGTATTTAAAAAAGTGACAAGAGTACAGTTACATTTCATATCCCATTGCACCAATGTTTGAAAAATATTATTCACTTAATTTCTGGCTACAAGGAATAGTCATCTTGGTATTTTCTGTCCACTGAACAGGAAGATTAATGCATGTGAGAAATTAAGACAGTCTGTTCACTTAGGTTTTAGTCACAGAAGTTTTCCACAATTTCAATGCATTTCCAACCTTTTCCCTTGGCAAAGTTTCATAATTCACATTTATATGCCTTGCTTTACATTTCACACTCGTCAGATCTTTACTAACCTAATGATGCAGACCTGAAATCAGCTAATCATGAAAGACTAAAATCCACTAAAACTATGAGCAAAATGTCCAAATAACAGGATAAAATACACTTTATTAAACAATACTTACTGTCCTTCAGTGTAGCCATGTTCCTGACTTGGCCACTGCAAGAGAAGCTAATATTAGTCAGTAATATTTGTAATGATTCATTTATAACATTACAATTCAGTGCACCTTTGGCATGCAAAACAGATTCAAAAGGTAGTCTGTGGAATTTACAGGATGTGCTTTTTACACAGTAAGCTATAGGAGGGTGGAACAAGCTACACAGCCACTATGTTGAAGGTGATATCCGGCCGTTTGTTTGAAAAAAAAGCTGAGATATGACCCACAGATCAAATAGCTACTAAAACTCTAAATGCCTATATATGCCAAATGGCCCACTCATGTTTGTAGCCACATCTAATTTAATAATTTCTTAAATAATTGCACCACAAACAAGTTTTCCACATCAATGCTAACAACTTTTTAATCACCCCGTAAAACAGTATAGCACAGGCTCAAATAGGAATTTCAGTTCAGGCGGTTTTAATAACTGACACTAATGATCTATATCGTTAATATAGATATTAACTGTCACAATGACAAAGGAACAATACATAGTAAAACATATGTTTTTAATATGTCTGATGTTTGCTTGAAACATATTCTCAATAATGCAATGAATGCCCTGTTCGTCTTGGAGAAGTGACATTGAGAGCTATATCGTTACCGCAGTAAGCATTTATGCAACGGCGGCGTTTCAAATTATCATGAGGTGTTGTGCAAATGCAAATTTAAAGAGCAAAAAATACTAACAGTGGGTAAGATATGAATAAAGACTTAAATGTTTCTTACAATGAATCTCGCTTAATAGCATGAACTTGGCCGCCCTACAAAAAAAACTGCCCAGGCCTACCGGTAAAATAGTGCCAAGCAAGATCTGTCTCTACGGAACAGCACAAAATCTGACTCGTGCTAAAGCATAAAATAACCAACCGCACATTAATAGATATCGTTTTGGATTTAACCCAGCAATTAGATTCACGTTACCATTGTGGCTGAAAAACCAGAACGCTGGCTCTCGCGAACATGGTGACACCAACGAAGGTCAATCTCCACTCACTGCGCACGCGTAAACTTCACTTTCCGCAGAAGAAGTCAAACAAATCCACGTCACATGGCCCAACTCAGTCTCGCGATGGTCAGACGGTGTGGGTAAGCATGACGTAATGACCCAATACCGAAAACAAGGAGCGCAAGTTGTTGATGACGTGAAACGCAACAGTAAGGAGAGCGCGTTGTGAACTTCTGGTTCCAACAGGGATCATCGTTATATTGTTTTGTTTGTGAACATTGGCTTTCCAAAATGGGAAAAGCGGAATTTCTGAGTCCCAAAGCTATAAGCAACAGGATAAAGTCCAAAGGCCTTCAGAAATTAAGATGGTATTGTCAGATGTGTCAGAAACAATGCAGAGATGAGGTGAGTCTGGTTAACTTTAGTTTGCACAACGTTTTACATTTTAACAACTACAAAATAACACTTAAAAGCAAAACGTACGATAAGGTATTAAGTCTAAATCGTGTTCATACCACACTACAAGAAAATGTCGCCACAAAACGTCTCACAATGATTATGTTTTAAGAAATATCATCATGCAATGTAGTGACGAAATACAACTAGCTACTGCGTGCTGACCGGCAGATGCAACTGTCGAGTATTTTAAGCTCATAATTATTGACTGCAAATGATAATTGCTGTGATTCGAGACGGAGAAAACGCGAAGTAAAGGTCTGAATGAGTCCTGTTGTGTTTTTGCTAGAATGGCTTCAAATGTCACTGCATGTCGGAGTCGCACCAGAGGCAGCTCCTTCTCGCCTCGGAGAATCCTGACCAGTTCATGGACTACTTCTCAGAGTGAGTGTCGAACTGGACAACTGAAGACTGTTCCTTTACCATTTCCATTTTCTGACTGTGCCCTGTGTTGTTAATATATTAGGTGATTAGCCAATGGGAAATTTTGGAAATCAGAAAGAATGAAGAACCTAGACGGTGACGGTGCCGATAAGAAATAACATTCGTTGAAGAAAATTAAAAAAATATATATATAACTTAAAGCGGGTGACACTTTAACTTAGAGGAAATACCTTAAAGCCTGCTTATGACCATAACTGTGTAGTCTGCCTGTTCTGCACCAGGCTCTTGTTGGAATGATCAGAAGACCAAAATTCCAGGTTTGATGAATAAGGTGACTCTGATTCAAGTCAGATCCATTCATTCCAGGAACTTGATGAGGCCTGTACATCACACGTATCAGATGCTGATTTATGTTATGAGATCCTGACATGAACATACAGTAGTCCGGTGTGTCCTGGACTAGCACCCTCTGTATGTTAAATACTACTTGTTTGGGGAATGTCATGGAGTCTATAACGATAGTTCAGGAGGGATGACGGCAGCCAAGTTCAATCAGACCGGGCTGTCGGTAATTCACAATCAGTCCTGATGTTATTTCCTCTCCTAAAACCCTTTAAATACTGTATGTGATCCCCTTCTCTCCCTCACATACATCTTTTGCAACCCACCTCCACCCCTTCTCCACCTTTGCAGCTGCCCCTTGGTCACTCCTCACTCTGCATAGAGGTCTCAGCCTCCTCGTCCTATGGCCAGGAGGTTAGCCCTCAGACAAAGGGGGTTAAGCCAAATTTTGACTAAACGCTCCATAATCCTTTCAGTACACTTAATTACCTGGTGTTATTATTCCTAATAAACTTCTGAATTTGGTATAAAGACTTGAACAGCTGAAATATCATGTAATATAATTGTGGTATTAATGCTAACCAAAAATACATAAATTATATTTCTGATTAATATTAAGGTTTATTTGAGCATTTATGATTGCTTGCTATTAATGCATAGAACTGATTTGGTTGTTTGCTCTTTTAGGGAGTTCAAGAATGATTTTTTGGAGCTGATTAGAAGACGTTTTGGTAAGATTAGTGGATTAATACCTAGCTATGCTTTAGTTAAGTCTTTATTATATTAAAGTTTAACATATTAAACACTGTTCATACAAGAAAAGTATGGAGGAGAAAAACAATTATCAATTTTGTATTTTACAGTTTGCCTGTGTTTACATTTGCCTTTGTAAAAGTTGCAGAGAACCTCATCTGCTTTTAACATATTCTTTAATGGATTAAAGTATACAAATAGAAAACATTGATATATCATTTTAGTAATGATTTCTGTTGTATTTGCAGGGACAAAGCGAGTCCACAACAATATTGTCTATAATGAGTATATAAGCAACAGAGAACATGTCCATATGAACTCTACTCAGTGGGAAACCCTCACAGACTTCACTAAATGGCTTGGTAAAGAAGGTAAGTCTTTTTAAAATGGCTAAAGATCTACCAGGGATATCAGTATTTGCAGTAGTGTTTTGTGGGTGAAGGGGAGGATTTCTGCCTTGAATCAAAGGGACATTTAAGCCCATGATTAGTTGTCACAAAGCCAGTTGTGGCATTGTTTTCTCTGGGTATCATTTTTGAAAGATTTTAAATATATCTAAACTTAACGTTTCACATACTGAATCATAGGATTTATTAAATATGATAGAAGGTTTGTAAAAAGAAATGTCTTGTTCCATGTGATATCTAGTTAGACAGTTGTTGGTAATGCTTTTCATTCTTCTGCTTTAATTATTTTCTTGTGTTAAAAATCTTATCATATTTTTTAAGAGAACCTTGTTTATCCATGCATATTTTCACACTTTAACACTCACTCTCCAAACATCGGTACCAGATCTTACTTTAAAGCCAAAGCTTTGGTAATCATACACCATGAATGGGATGGAAATCTTTTATAGGCATGCCCAGTGAAATGGAAAAAAATAATTCCTTGCAGGCCCGCAATTTCTTGCCTTTTTGAACTGTTTTGATTAGAGGTTCCTAAACTTTGTAGGGCTAAAGTATAAGAGAATAAAAATCTGTTCTTCTATGTTTAGGATACTGTAAAGTGGATGAGACACCTAAAGGCTGGTATATCCAGTACATTGATCGCGATCCTGAAACAATCCGAAGGCAGGAAGAATTAGAGAAGAAGAAAAAGCAGGATCTGGATGATGAAGAAAGAAGTGCGAAATTTATTGAAGAACAGGTTCGCAGAGGCAAAGAAGGCAAGGAGGAGGTAATCACAGTGCTAATATTAGTAAGAGCATTCGCGACAGATGAGAGAAGCTTACGTTTGATTCACATCTCTTCAAACTTCATATAAACCAAGTCCATTTCCCAGCTGAAAACACCACATTTCTGCCAATTTCAACAGATGGCCTGGATTAACTTTACATCACAGTGACTGTTGGTTTTGTCTCATCGGTTCCTTAAGCACCAGTTCCTTAAATCCGATCACGAATCCCAGAACCCATTTGCTATACATTTCACTCCTGCAGTTTTAACCTACATTCTTGTGAGTTTATTTTTATCAGCGGTTAAATGGGACAAATGTTCTTTTTAACAGTATGGTGATCTATTTAACATTCTTTAATGACACGTACAGTGTTTCAGGTAATTATAACTAATGATCATGCTCAACTTAAAGGGCAATGAATACTTAGTTCTTAAAGTGTGCTTGGCCTGTGTGGAATAAATACCCAAAATAAAGAGTAGTAATCACTTTAAGTTCTTTCTCTACAGATCCTCACTCTTACAGCAGTTAATTATTTAAATCGTCTCCAGCAAAATCAGTAAGATCTTGGTCTTAGTTACCATGTTATTTTTCTAGGAAACTCCTGTCTTTACAGAATTGAAAAGAGAAAATGAAGAAGAGAAGGGTGAGTACTTTCAACATTAATGCATATAAAAGTGAATGTCATTAAAAACAAGTTATTTTGCTCGTAACTACAAGTAAGTATGTAGTATTCATTTATCCAGTTTGAGGTATTTTAGTGCCAGTATTGAATCTAAGGAGAAAGAAAATATGATAAGATTCACCAAAAATTTAAAATAGCTGACAGAAATAAGGTGTGGGATAATTTATAGCAGATCTTTAGGTCTTGAATCCATAATCCATAAAACTTTAGAAAAGCTCTGTTTGTAAACATATGAATGTGTCTTGACCTAAAATAACATCTAATCATGCCATGCAAGTCCATTTTTATAATAGCTATTAAGTCAGCTAATGTAAGAATGTGGACACAATCTCTCCATCAGTAATCTAATAATTAACTGTCACCCAGTGAACTGATTTACAATTGTCAGAGGCCCTTTTCTTTCCTATAGTGGCAGGTTGTCTGGTACTGCAGTATCTTCATAGACTGCCCTGGCACACAAAGCTTTTTGCTCCAGAGCACAGTTTACTTCTGATTTTCTGAAAAGTATCAGAAGAAATTTCAAGTATCTTAAAAAATGTAAAAGCAACAACAAGATTAGGCCATTCACCCCATTAACGTATTTGCCTCTCAACTTAAGATAGTTGATCTGCGGATCTCATCCTGCCATTTCTTGAAGGATGCCTAGGTATCTGCTTCAACAACATGCCTGGGTGAAGTTTCAAATACTGTAAGAAACTTCATAGATACAGAAAAGATTAACTCAGTTATTATTTCATATTGTTGTAGATGTTGTGAACTCAGGCATAATGGTCTGGAAAACCTTTACATGTTGTTAATATTATTTATTAATATTGCAGTTGTGTTTAATTTGGCCAAGGGATTGAGTAACTCTGCAGCATCTTCTTCAAAATCAAGGTAAGGATGAATATTAATAGTACCATGTCCTGTAATGTAATTTCAGGTTGTTTTAATTTTTAGCGATTGTTCTTTTTTCTTTTATAATTGCTTTTTCTGCACAGCAGTGTTTACACCTGTAGATTAGAGTATTATTTTAAATGGGAGTTTAAAATGATCTCAGTTGACTTTTACATTTAAGGAGAATAAAGACTTGATAAATCTTTTTGCACGTTTTATGATAAAAAGACTGTTTCTACTTCCATTTCTACTAACATAAATATGTAAGATTGTATGTTACAAGATGATATTTTAAAAAAGTTATATTAAATTTGATAATCAATCTAAACGTTTGTTTTTATGGGACTCTTTTTATTACCTGACTCTCATTATTTTCTTTTGTTTTCTTAATTGTAATATAAATGCATTCCTAAAAAGAAGAACTAAAGCATATCATTTTCCCAGCACTTCTCTAGGACCAAGTGCCCTGCAGGTTGCAGCAACCTCTGTAAAGAGAAAGGAGTCTAGTCATACCTCAGAATCGAAGGAGAAGAAGAAGAAATCTGCACTGGATGAAATCATTGAGGTACTGTTTCTAAATTGTCATTATAGAAGTCTTTGTTTTCAATGTGTTGTGCACAATAATAAATGTAGGCCCTTATTTACAAGTGTTGGTGAAATATACCCATTAGGCAGACCTAATAGGGCATTTATCCAAATTAAGATTATGTGTATTTTATTACATCTTTCATTTAAGATTAAATGTTCAATTATGTTCATTTTTACACCCGTGAGTTATGACTGATTTTACCAATTTTAATTTGAAACATTTAATGTCCATGTCCTTACTTATTAGTAAAGCCCATAAGGGCTATAAAATTCAGACCTATTATGTTGACATGAACGCCAAGTCTCCTGCATTTCATTTTCACTAGTGCTCCAGGATTATAAAACATGTAAAACCTAAAATGAAAAGATAGATACTTTATTGATCCCCTGAGGGAAATTGCAGAAAAGATGTTACAATTATCCTCATTTATACTTTTAAATATCATCTTGTGGATCGGTTTATCAAAACAGTTAGAAAATTAGATTGTTTCGTAATTATTTTAGATGGAAGAACAAAAAAAGAAAACAACAAGAGTGGATTACTGGCTGCATCCTGTAAGTCTTCAGATTTGAGTCTTTTTCACACTTGTACACAGTCATAATGAGAGGCCAGCCTCTTGTTCTACACAGTCAACAACTTCTTTGTGTTTGAACGTAATCAGTGAATATTGAACATTAATCATACGGAACGATATCTGCTGTAAAATCTAACTGCTGCACTGTATATCCCCAGTTTAGTTTATAACAGATATCTAGAAGGGGATGAACACTGCAGAGGAGCCACTCTATACTGTCAATTAATTTATTTTGTTATCAAGATCTAATAACCGGTCTGAGAAATTGGGACTGCAGTTCCTCTTTAATTTACTTTTCGTTAATTTGTCAAATTGTAGTTTTTAAATTACGTTAGTCTGTTTTAAGATTCAGAAACTACCATTTTTTTAATGCCATTTTCTTTTTCAGAATATTATAGTTAAAGTAGTAACAAAGAAGCTGGGTGAGAAGTATTATAAGAAGAAAGGAGTTATAAAGGTAACTGGGTTAAATATTACTGTTACTTTTGGTAAACAGTCAAATTTTGAAGATGCAGTAATGACTTACCTCAGAAATTTGATGTATTGTTGGGGAAAAAAAACTTATTGTTGAAAAATCCTCAAATAACTCAAATATCTTCTACTACCACTATTATTATTATTGTTGTTGTTGTTGTTGTTATTATTGTTTAAGGTTATATAAACTTATACCAGTTATGTATGAGATATACATTATTACGAGAAGTATTAGATTATCTAAACCTATAATAATCTTCTGATTACAAATATAAATAATTTCTGAACAACTTCTCATTTCCAGTGACAACCTAGCTAAAAATATTTTTGCACAGTAAACTGCAGTGAAAAAAAGAACAATACATAAAATCACATACCAGAACTGGGCGTTGTACAGCAAGTGCAAGTGTCGGGCAGAAAATATTTAAATATAGTCTTCTTATATCTTCCTGTTTTGATCAGCTAATTTCCAACTTAATCTTTTATGCCCTACGTTGAAGTTTCATTATTCTGAATTCTTTCAAAAACCCTGTGTGTCTATTGCTGTCGATTGACATTGATTTTAGCTAAGGAAAGCTGATATGGATTTCTGGAAGTCGCTGGCCATTGTTAATGTATTCTTTGTCGGCACATGTTGCAGGAAGTGCAGGAGAAGTACACAGCCATTGTGAAGATGACTGATTCTGGTGACAAACTGAAACTTGATCAGAGCCATCTGGAGACAGTCATTCCAGCTCCAGGTATAACATCAGCTTATACATCACAGCGTTCTAGCGTGTAATTTTGCTGAAGCTCTTAATTTTCTATTAATATGGCATAATTAAGAATATTAGTCATACTACATGTTAATAATATAATATTAGGTATATACACTTAGCTATTATATATTATGGCTTTTATGTCTTTGTTCCAGGGAAAAGGGTATTGGTGTTGAATGGAAGTTACAGGGAAATGGAAGCAATACTTGAGTCTATAGATGAAAGGACTTTTTCCGCTACTCTAATTCTTGATTCAGTAAGTATGATATTTCTGTTGTGAAGCTTCTGTTGTGAATCTCTTGTGTTTGGAAAATCATGGGAACGGTGACCACTGGAATACAAGAACTCCAGTGTTTTTAGACCAGTATTCAACCAATTGATGTCTGTTAACATACTTGATTTAACAGTCTTGGTAAACCTGTTGCATTTCTACATCTTATTTTATAGCTTATTATTTTCATTATACAATGCACCTCTTGCAAGGCGTAAGCCGAATTAAAAAAAACATAAAAACAAATGACAGACGCCTTTTCACCAATTGCATGTTTATTTCAAAGGGGCGTCTAAAAGGAAAGAAAATTGATGGAATCGCATATGAAGATTTCTCCAAGCTGGCTTGAATATTCATGTGGTTTATTAACCGGATAATCAGGATTTGTATGTTTGAAAAACTCTACTGTGTAAGGGTTACCTTTATTTTTACTATATAAAGTTTGGGTCTCGAATTGTCATAAAATGTTGGTTATGTGAATGAAGATTTTGTTCAACATTTCAATTGTGATGTAAATTGAACATTTATTTTTTTACACTGCTTTAATTAGACAACTGCTAAAATGTGTAAACTACACATTTTGTGTTGAAATGTCTTTTCTTTATTATGTGAGATTCTGTGTTACATAATAGATTTGTAAACTGCATTAGTTTCTTTAAATTTTATGCCTCATTTTTCCCATTTCAGCCTTTATATTTTACTATTGTTTGGTTTTAGGTTTAGACTGACAATAATATACATGTACCACATAATGCAGAATAAGATCTTTTTAACTTTTTATGCAGGGTATAACCAATTCATTTTACATTTGCATTGACAAAATATTTAAGCCTTGTTTTTCAAGAGAATTTAAAGTACTGCTAATAACCTTGTAAAAAACATAATACTATGATTACTCAACACCTTTGTGGATATAGTGGATATCACAAGATACATTAATAGAGCATATGCATTTATTGTGTAACAAGTCTTGTTTCATAAGAACACCCAAGCTTTGACCGGCTGTCCGATAAGAGTCTAAACTGTAAGATTTTGGTGTTTATTTCTAATGGATATACAGTACAGTAGTTGTGTGGAAAATACAATTACAGTCATTATTCTTCTTCTCTAGATGATTGCTGTAAAGTGATGCTGCTAGATTAGGTATTGGTTAAAATGATTTTAATTGCTAAAGGTTTTGGGAACTTTCCCCCTGACTTTAGAGACACGTAAAATATACCTTCACAGAAACTCAGGTTGCTACAAGTGGTATTGGTTCTCCAGAAGGCAGCACTTCTCTCAGGACCAGGATTTTCAAAGTAAGTGCCATAGGATGGTGACCTTGCACGTTGTACTTTTTATTAGGAGGTGGCTCCTTTTAGATAGTAAACAGAGATCATTAATGGTTAAGCAGTCACTGTCCCCGAGTCGAGTATTCTGTGGTCAAATTAGGGGCTTGCTCATTCTAGCCTCTCTAATGTTCCTTCTTCAGTCCAGCTTCTGGGTCAGTTTCTCAGTTCACTGCTGTGTAGCAGGACTGCTGGTTCATAATGACTGCCGCATGCCATCTATCTGGATGTTGCACTTTAGTGCTGGATAAAGTGGTTTCCCTTTTAAATGTAAAGTGCTTTGAAATCCTTTAGGGTGAAAGAGAGATGTAGACATGCAAGGAATTATTAATATATGTGCAGAAGATAATGAAGGATTGTCAAGTGCTCTACTATAAAAGTGTTATTTGGAAATGACACGTTGAACACATACAGAAGTACACACCTTTATTTAGTAACAAAATGCAAATAACTGGAAAAACCCTGGAAGACTAGAATAAGATGCCAGTTAAATTGTGGTTTAATGTTGGGAACCATTGTTTAATATATAGGGAAGTAAAAAAATCAACACATCCATGAGGAAGGTTTTCTTATTTCATGCACAATTAATTTGTATGTGTAACACTTCTGCTCAAAGAATAGTAGATTACAACTGTTATATAGTGTTATTGAACAAACTTTATAATTCAGAATTGTTGGAGAAAACTATCCAGCTGTGGAACAATGTAATTTTTGTAGTGTCCATCAATGAAACCCTTTCCACTGTTGTGAATAAACCAGCAGTAAATATCAGTTCCATACACTTTGTCGTCTCTGTAGTCTTTTTGCCATCCCCTGTGTAAAGCAAATACATTTTTTTAGATTACTTAAATAGACATTCAATTACAATTCAAGTCTTATAAACAGATAAAACATCAGGATAACACGTTGATGAAAATAGTAATATGGAACAAAATATTTGTGATGGCTTCAGTGGTTTGGATTACCATCTTCCTCTTATTTCCTTGCCGTTCTGATCCTATATGATTAGGAGTTGAAAATCCACCTTGGAAATGCAGTAGGGGCTTGTGGCCTAAGGAACTGCAAATACCAGGATTATAACTGAGCTTTTTAGCAGTACATACATGTTTTGAAAGTGCACTTCCATTGGTAAGGTGCTCCTTTGACATTCTGTAAGTGCAATTTGGATCCATTCCTTTATAAATAATAAGGTAAACTAGTGTTTGCACATTTTCAAGGTATTTTTAAATGTGCTATCTTTTGACGTGACAGGCTAGTGAATGGAGCTGGTACAGCAATTGTAACAAGCGATTATATAAATCCCTTTTTTTTCTTAATAAAAGAGGGATCCACAACTGAGTGCAGAGACCACAGACATATAAAACAATTTTATGTTTCATAGACTAAGAATGAAGGCCAAGACCTCTGCCAGGCCCAGCTCAGCATAAATACGCATAACAAATAACCCTTTCTGAACCCTTGTCATTTTACTGTATATCCCTTTCACAATCCTATCATTACCACTACAACAGCTTCTTGTCTTGCTGCACCTAACTGGGGCAGGCTTTTGTTCCCTCAACCAAATGAGTTCCAGTTAAATCCACATCTCACATTCAACAAACACTAAGCTTCTCTATCATGAGGTTATTCCCATTCAACCAATGTAATGTTCAGTAAGCTTTCTTTTTTAATGCATTAGAGAATATATGTTGGCGCAATAGTTGGATACACAAGAGTATAAGTACTGATTCTGATTGTAATTGTTAAAATATTCGTATCTTCGCTCCCCGTCATCAGGACCAAGGTTGCTTGAAACAGTGTATTAAATGATGGATCAAATGTACAGTATAATGAGGTAAATATAAGGGTTTTCTGAATGTGTTCGGGGGGTAGAAAAGATGCTAACTAACATGCACTATTGATGTCTTTAAGCAAGGAAAATTTATTTAAGAGTTTAATTAAGGTACAAAAAATATACAAAAATATGTTATCTGTTCAGTTTTTCAGCAGGTGGAATTTCTATGTGGTGTTGTTAGGTTGATGAATTTAGTTTTCTCTGTATATAGTATGGATATATCATTAATGAGTCTCGATTGATATGTCTGACAATAGAATTCACTAAAGACACGTCATACCTGGTAACAGCAAGTTTATTCCCCTTCACTTCCATTGTGGCCTCTGGTTTCTTAGGGTCTTCACCAGGATGAATATTGAATATTTTCACTTCAGGTTCAGTGGCAAATTGACCTCAGAAATAATAGAAAAGAGTTAGATTTTATGGTGAATGATTATTTCAATTACCATGCATTTTTATGCAACTTTTTTTCTCCATTTTTAAGATGACCTCTAAAGGCACCGAAGTGGCATCATTTGCTAAATACATAGCTTTGATTATCTAGAATCTAGAGTCTTACTGAGCAAGGGTGTATCACTACACATTTTCTAATCTGAGCACTATAAAATTAAAAGGTTGTTTAATATATGTACCTATCAGCCCATGAACCTTTGGTGAGTACATGTTGGAGTTAGGAGTGTAAAATCCCAAGAAATCGACATTGACTGGATGTTTTTTCCAGACACGATGGAGAAGAACCATGAAGGAAATTTCGCTGTTCACACTGACAATAACGTGTGTGTCTTTCTTGATCAAGATCTTCACTCTGAATTAAAAGCAGAAATGATTTTTAACCACATGCCAACAGATGCAAATGTACTTTATCTGTAACTTTATTTGGTTTTAAATACCCTGGATTCTAGCCTGTCTTTGTCAATGAGTTTAAACAGTGTTTAAAAATGTTACTTTTAAATGTAATCCATCATTGCTACAAATTATTTAAGAGATTGCTTTTCTAAATTTATAAGAATAAGGGTGAACTTGCTTTAAGAGGCAATGCATTATTATAACTGCAAACAATGCATCACTGACTGCATTTGTTCTCCTTGTTTCTTGTTAATTCTAAAAAAGTATTCCCTTACTCAAGTAATATGTATAACATTACTCAAGTAATGTGTATGTAATCAATAGCTTTTTAAAGGTAATTGATCCCAACATCAGTTTTAAATTAATTTACAGCTAATTTACTAATTAATTGGTAAAAAAGGTCATCATTTGTCTTGACAATTATTTTCCAATAACAATTGTGTGCAAGGAACTCATGACAATGCCTTTGAAAACTTGCTTATTTGCTTATTTCTTTATATACTAATTTATTTTGAGAATTTGTAGTTTTTTAGTGTGTAGTTTTTTACAAATCATTAGAAATATGCAAACATACTGTAACTTTCTCAGGAAGGATAAATAGTGGCTTCCTGCACAAATATGCTAATACCAGATAACATGATCACCACTACTGCATCCTGTTCAAATTTCCTATACCCTCCTCTTGCATAAATATTGATAGTGATCCTCCTCATCATCATAAAGGTTAATGTTTAGTAGTTTGGAAAGATCAATGTTTTGAGGATCGGTTTGTTGGAGTTGGAAGAGTTATAAAAGAACTAGTGGAAAATGCATTCAAATGCAACATGAAACCATGTTTTAGACAAATGTTTTCTCTGCTGAGTCAATACATACTATATATGCCTGCATTGAAGCCCCTATTCACAATGTAATTTTTCCATGTTAGAAATGAATGGTTTTGGATAATAGCTGAAGTTTATAGAGAACGGTGAACTCAGCTGTGAGAGATATGCAAACCGAATGTTCATAACAAATTCAAGCACTATAATTATTGTTCTTACAGGTATTGTTTCAGAAATATGCAGCGCAGGGCATTGGGGTCTGTGATAGACATGAGCTATGAACTCAAGAGTAGAATTTGATACACTCAAAGGTTAATTTAAATCAGCATACAGTAAATCGTTCAAAGCTAAGCATCAGAATGTAAAACAGCAAATACAGAATTTCATAAAGAATGTAAAAATAAGATTTATGTTGTATTTAATGCTTTTTAGAGGATTTGGTATATGTTTTATGATCTTGCAGTTTATGGTGCTTAAAAAGAAAACCCTATGATGACAATTGTTTGTAGGTGCAAATTGGCAGTTCTGGTCTTCAGTCCTTATGAACATACCCAGTTTGTGTCACATTTCCTGTTTCTGTCCAAGAAAAGGACTGAGCATACTTTGCATCTGTTATGGAGATGTGCTCTGTGCTGATCTCCACTTTAATCTCCAGGGGTTTGTAGTAGATCAGGATTGTTCCAAAATAAGTACTCAACTTCTTGTTTTCAGATTTCTTAGCCCCTATTAGTTGACCATTAACTACCACACCTGTGCAGAGAGGAGAATATACTTATTAGGTTTTTCAAAAGTCCAGCAGCATGCATCATACAAACACAGAACCATGAGAAAGGTTATTGCTTTTTCTGTACTATAAGGTCTTTTTTGTTTTCATACAGTTGTGCTCCAGGTTTCCCTTAATTTCTAACTGAGCTCTAACATCCTTACCTTTTTATTGTAACTATCTACTTGTTATCAGAGAGTCATTTATCAAAGTGAGAGTCATGGCAAGCTGGAACCTAGCCCAGAAAATTGGTGCTCACGTTGATCATCACCCCCTGGATGGGTGGATGCGAGTCTATCACAGGGCCATGTAGAAAAGAGCAAATTAGAAGAGCCAAACGAAATGAGCCAATATGTCTTGGGGCTGAAACTGGAACACCTGGCACACAACCACCCAGTCATGGGGGGCACATGAAAACTCCACACATGCACTCATGGCCTGCTTGTTTCCAATCCTTTCTCATTTTAATGCTAAGAGAAATGGTGACTACTCCTCATACTCCCTAACCCCCATGAAGGTTAATACAAAAAGGGTACTGGGTCTTTAAAGAGCCTCAGAAAACTCAACACAGGGAAAAATATAGCTGCTCACTTTGATGTCTCCTCCCTCTCAGACATCAACTTGCCTTCAGAAATGATCAGTTATCTTGCCATGACCTTAAAGGTGGTCAAACATTAGCAATTTAGAGTATTTTAGACATCACCAGAAGTTGTTTTTTTTTTTATGCCGTTTCCAATGCATCCATCCATTATCAGAATGCTGCTGATTACGGGTAAGGAGACCTGGATGGGAAATCAGTCACTCATGTGTCACAAACTCAGAGGGACAATTTAGAGACACCAGGTAACCAGCCGGCATGTCTTTGTGAAGTGGGAAGAAACCTGAGCTCCTGGAAAACGATTTTAGATAATATAATATAGAATATAATACTTTATGCTGTTCATATTTTCATCTTTTTAATATAAAATGAATTTATGTACTTCATATGTATACAGTATAATGTGTCTCTAGGCCCTTCAGTGAAGTGATAATATAACAGTTAACTTCATCACCTGAATAAATAACATCTACAGCCTCGTAAGTGTTTGCTCTTTTAATACACTAAAGGCATTAGGTGTCCAGCAGTGATGACAGACCTATCTTCCTGTCATACCTATAATATTTCCTTATTATTCACACAATATACTGTATATATGTAGGTTTTGTTGTACATGTCTACTGTCTTATGTTTGTTAACTTGAACAAATGTGTTACAGCTAAGATGAGGCTGTTTGAAACTAATCTATTCCCAAATCTTATCCAGCCACACCCTGAGTGCCAATTTGAAAGACTTAGCTGGGCAGATTGGTCGAGGCACACACAACACCACTGCAGTTATCTGTAAAGTGCTTCCTATTTTGAATCCTACATGTATTTTTCTAAATACTTTCTACCTGAGACCCTTTATTTATATTACTATGTGAGTACCAGTCGAACCAATTTGGTACCATTTGAAATTATTAGGGTTTTTTACAAGTAGCATAGGCATGAATGGCTCATGCACATCAGATACAGTATGTCAAAATGTAGCACCCTGGAAGTCTGAAACATGAACAGACAACAATAGCAAACAAGTCAATACCACTGACATAAAAGGAACTCAGACCCACATTACTGAAACTCTCTTACCTGAGTCAGGGTCAGAGATGAGGTTAAGAACATCTCCTGGTTCAGAGTCAATGTTAAAGCAAATGTCCGTGTTGCTCTTTGGCAAATGAATGATGAAATGAGGATCACTGTCCACTGCAAAGGGAAAATGGGTTTAAATAAACATTTACACAATAATACAATGGGGAGGGGGTGTCTCACATTTTCAGTTGACTAACAAAGAGTTGCTTAGTTCACTTATAAATTTATGTGTGTGTAAAAAAAAAAATTAATCTAGTTTTCACTGGTTGGATGAACTGTAACATTTTGGCTGTTGAGCTGAGTTTTTTTAGATGTGAACTAGAAGGCCCAACAGCTGAAAAGTTGGGTTTCTTCTCCCTGCTTTTCAGCATGGAATTAACCTCTACTTGTTCCTTTACAGCCAAAGCAAAACTCCCCACAAGCAGCTCTGCATTGAAACCTGATTTTTTTAAAAGCCTATGAGTAAAGCCTGTGGCAGAGGTCCAGTGTGCCCTCACCTGTTGTGATATGACTGGGAACATACACCTCAGGGGTAGGTCCCACAGCATAGCCTGGCGTTGATAAGGGACTCTGAGCCCAGGGGGGGATACTATGGACTCTATTCACAGGCAGCCCCAGGGAAACAGAACCTGTAGGAAAACCCATAGAATTAATCAAATTGTACTCCGGCTTATTGTATTAAGGAAAGGGACCCAGATAGAGCCTAACATTCTAAAAAAATTTAAATATGCCTCTTTCAAAAACCCTAGTTAGCAACTCACGAACTATTGTATTTAGAATTGATTTACATTATAAGAAAACAAGACAGAAAAGGCAACATAAGAGAAAAAGAAATAGTAAAGATTTTTGGAACACTACAACATTGTTCACTGAGGCAGTCTATCATCTCTAACTTTGACGCTAACATTTTTTTGTTATTATATAACATCCACAAACCTTTGTTTATTGTTCACTTATTTATTACGACAACAAGCTTTGTTTTACTCAGAACTGTTTTTTTCATCTTGTTCAGTAATAGAGGGACATAATGTGTACCTCCACATGACATGACAGTAAAGATTTTCCCCACTAGAGTCTTATCATTCATTTTCTAATCACTATATCCAATTCTAGGTGGCAGGAGAGCCAGAGCCTATCATGGCAAGCAGCTGGCGCAAGGGAGGATACACACTGGAGGGGACACAGACACAAACGTGTACATACTCACACCAGGGCCAATTTTCCCAGAAGCCAATTGACCTACCAGTATGGTTTTAGGAGAAAACCTGAGGAAACCCAAGTGAGCACATGGAGAACATCAAACTCCACGCAGATAGCACCCAAGGAATTGCACCCAGGGCCCCAGCACTGCGAGGCAGCAAATCTAACCACTTATGATGGCACTGGAATTACAGTAAGAGGCTAACTAAAAACACTTGGGAGGAATGTAACATTAGTGGAAAAAAATTGTTCTGGAAAGACAAGAAAGATGAGGGGAAGGTATTGAGCTACATATCAAAAACTGTATTCAGGAACTAACACTAAATAATTCGAGTGTCTCTGAATCTATATGGATTAGTTTTATCAAAAATATTCTAAAGGTATAGTATTCAGAGAAGGGTCTTGACATCGGTGAATTTAATATTCATGAATTCGCTTATTTGCGATTCAGCCTGGCCTACGATGTCTTGGATGGAAGAAGAGCAGAGGAGGATGAACCCGAGCTGAATGTTGTTAAGCGCTGTTTGTGCCACCATGCTGCCACAATCTTATCAAATACAAGGTAAACCATTAATTCAATCCAACTATTTCAATGCTGTATTTATATAATATAAAACAGATCTGCATGCATCTATTGGAGGGCTTCAAACACAGTATTTCTTTTTATTCTTATACATTGGAATGGCTTAAGAATCTTGGAAGTGTTGGCCCAGTTTGGCCTGACAGGTGAATGACTTCCCTCCCACCTCCTTCAGCAACTTGCCTGAGCAACAGCCCTGTTTGGGGTCTTTAGGTGAATCAGCCAAAATTCTTTCACTTCCATCTTCACTCTCTACCAGCATAGCTGTCATTGGTGTCACAAACTGGTGCTGCAGGGCCAGACTCAGGATTTTCTGGGTGATTTTCCTCTTCCTGGCTGCTGTAGGAGCCAAGGACCTGTATAGATCAATACAAATCAGTTACATCTGTCTCATCCATTACTTTCCTTTTGTCAGCCTCAATATAAACTGTAACCTTTAATGGTCACTATTTAAGGAATGCCTTTGCTTTGGGGCTCAGGGAAGAGCAAGACATGTTTCGCAGCACAGTGAACACAGTAAAAATCTGTTTCTTGCGTTTTTTAATATCAGAGGTCCAGGAAGAAAGTTAGATCCTAATCTTTCACACTTCTGCTCGCCAAAGTACTGTACATGGGTTTCACAACCCTGGACTTCCATTTGAAGTCTCTGCGTCCCTGACTCCACCACATCTATGCCATGACAGCAAACTCCGTAGTTCACTCCTTACCATAGTGATAGGGGTAGGAATTAGTACCCTTATCCTCACAGCTTGACTCTACATATTTCATCCCTCTATCACATTCATTAGATCTACAGTGAGATATAAAATCTGAGGTACATATTCACATCTGAAAATTGCCAGAACAATTAGATAGTGCTGTAAAGATCCATGTGAAAAAGCAGAAAAAAACGGCTTTTGTTTTGCTCACCGCTCAGCTAGCAGCTGGTTGATGGTGATGTAGGCCCAGAGCTGCTTGGCAAAATCCGGATATGTGTGTGAGCCCAGGGCTAACAGCTCATCAAGCTTATGAATGTCTGTCTCCGTCAGTAGCTGCAGGTCCATCTCTGCCTAAAAAGAGGCAGAGCAAATGGAAAATTGAGGGAGTGTTTATACAGGTTTATACAGGGCAATGAGTTATACAGTAAGTGTTACAACAATAGTAATAAAATTCTGTACTATAACTGTATGTCTGTCCCTCGCCTTACCTTTGGATCAATAGTTAGTTTACACACAGTTAGTGATTGTCTATATTGATCATAATCTCTTATGGAGAACCACAGAATTCAATGACAGAATTTGTCTCACTAGAACATTGCAATTACAAAGGAGTCAGTCCGAAAAGATGAGTTCACATTATCTCCAATTACCTACGACTATTTCTTCTTCCTTGTTACGTATGCTTTTACGGCATTGACAAAATAAATTAACTGATTCTCGATTGCTGTGGTATCTCATTATTCCAGCTACACCAGGCTGCTGAGGTTGAAACAGAAAATGACACAGCGAATGAGCACTGGCTCTGTGTGCAGTACCTCAGTCACTGGAGTATCGTTAACATCAAATATTTAGAAAATGAAAACTTCAATGACTTTAAAAACAGACCAATTATTTTTAAATATGCAAAATATTTTAAACTAATGATATTACTAGGTCTCCAGCTTCTAATCAATGCCAGATGAATTTATCTCTTTGTGAAATGCTTAGTTAATAATTAGTTAGCATCATAAATCATAAATAATTACTTAGCTGTCATCAATCATCATAAAGTACTCCAAGCAGAGACCAAAGCCCTGCAGTATGCATACACTGATATATGTAAACTATCATAGAAAAGAAAAAAAAAACAAAATGTAAATGACATAAAGTTCTACTCTAAAAAGGTACATTTTACAGTTTTTAACTTCAATAAAAGTTACAATGCTACTTTAAACTCTTCAGGTTAATGACTGTGTTATAGCAATACAGTACTTTAAACAAAGGATTATATTTATGTTGCTAAGAGGAACCCACTGACGATGCAGTGACAGTGCCCTGCAGGACTGAAAATCCATTCGGTTTGACTCTGCCAGCAGTCACCAGCTCGGAGCCACTGAAGTACTTGTCGAAGCTGTTCTGAGTGACATCGAGCACGGTATCTTCAGGAAATGTGATTTCTATCTTTCTGAGCAGAGGAGATGAGACTTCAATGTAGAACTTCTGTAGAGCAATAGGAAGACAGCAAAGATTTACAGACATGTTTCTGATACTGTATGTAACAGGAAAACAGCAAAATGGAGAGAAACATATAAAAACAACATACTGTAGATGTCATAATTTATCCCCATCACGGAAGCACTTTGATCAATGAAATTGCAGTACACGTCATTGAAATTATAGTTTCAGATCAAATTATATATTAGAACAAGCATGGCCAGAGGCAGTTCAATGCCTTGTTTTATAGACAGTTGGACAGAGTGTCCAGGAAAAGTCAGGCTGACTGTGCCTGCGAACTTTACTGTATGTATATGGGCTTTACTCACAGATAACAGCAGAAGTGGGTATAGGTTGGTAAATTCTGTAGTTCAGTTCTTATTGCATTTACGGCTGCAGTTTATTTAATTTTCACATTCTACATGTACCCTTATTGGGTACATGTCTGTGAAGATCCCTGTGCGTCTCAGTGTCTGTACTGAGTGGAAGATATCACCTGAGAGACAGAGTACTTGGTCCTTTCACATATGTTAGAGGTGGAAGCCTGTAGTTCTGTTAATTGCCAGTAAATTGACATTTTATTAGGCCTAAGCAAACTCTCTACACAACTTCAGCAAAATGTCCTTCTGTGCTTCTAATTACTAGGCTCCACAGTATATGGGGTGTATCAGAAGAGGAAGGTTAGTGTCATGATATAATTTGTTGTTTTTTTCCATCCTTCTTAATCTAAACTCGTTAACGGCTCAGCAGTCACTTAAAATGTATCATGTATAACCAGACAGGAGATGGTAACAGGTGTTGGCAATCTTCGTAATTTCTTTGACTTTGGAAAATGAAAACAAAACAATGCAAGCACAGAAGACACTGCAACAGTCTGGAAAATCTGGAAAAGGTCAAGAAAGTTGGACAAACTTAAAAGCACCCTCAGCTGCTCAGAAGCATCTTCACTGTTGCGAATCCTTTGAGCTTTTCCACGGTTTTCCAGAGCAATCCTCTCCAGGAAATCGTAGTCCACATCAAAGCCAATGCCCAGAGAGAAGAGGGAGAATTCCTCGCGCATCGCCTTCTTCACATTCTTCTGAATGTTCTTTAGCTTGATCTCACCTAGCAGCCAGAAAGGGAAGTGGTATACTGGGAAATTCCTTCACTTACATTTCAGTCAGATACCATATTATCACGTTTATAATTCGTTGGAAGATGCTCAAGGATTAAATGGCCTTTTCAAGCATGGTTTTACTTGATCATGTTCTTGATTGTACCTTCCACAAACCCGCTTTCATAAAAATGACTTTCTTTTCCAGGTTCAAAAAGGAGGTTTCCTTACAAATGTATTTGTGACAGTGTGGGTCTTAAAATGAGGTTGGTATCTTGATTTTTATTTAAATGTGCTCCCCTCCTATTTGAATATTGTTTTCTCTTTGCTGTACTCCTGTGTTGATGTACTGTTTTTCATTTTAAAATATTAAATATTTTGAATATGTCATATCATATACAACATATCAGAAGGATATTGCAAAGCGTGAGTCATATAAAACATTACTGCACTGCCTAAAAGATAAATTGCAGAGTATTTCTGTAATAAAAAGAATACTGTGCTTTAGCATACCTACAGTAGGATCTCCGTCAGACACCAGAATAATCATTGAGACTGCTTTGGAGTCAACACAGCAACTGCTCCTGGCTTTAGATAACATGTGGATGGCCCTGAGGAGTGCCTCATTGATGTTAGTACCTGCAAAAAAGGTGATTAAAGACCTTTTCATCACAGAAATATTCTAAATTGCAGAACTGGGCATACACTTTGCAATATCACAGACATTCAAAAAAGAAAGGTCAACATCCATGAATTTACACATTTTCCTTAATAACAATAACCCTTTCGCCTTCACCTGTTTTTTTATTTATACTGCTGAATTTACAAATATTGGATATGTGACCTACTTTTAGGAGCGATGTTAAGGAACTCTCAAGGCACTTATTTATATATATTTATTATGTTAAAATAAAAAAGCAGCTAAGGAGTAAATAAAAATGCCCTTATCTGCCTATTTATCCAGTGCATGCTTTGTGTTGATGCTTCCCAATCTGACTCTGCAGTCCGGCTCGAAAGCCTCACACACCCCCGTTAGGCTGAATTGCCTGGATGTATCTCTTGGCTTCAGCAATCTGAATCGAATTCCCAGGAACCAGCTCTTCATTCCAGCAGCGCACATTGTGGTTAAAGTCAATGATGCTGAAGGAATCGTCAGGGGAGAGGTCGTCCAGGATGGTCAGCATGGCCTGCACCGTCTAAAGGAAATACAGTGCAAAATAACATCATGGTGTTACGTTCCACATCCCTCCTCTAGAGGGCGCTCCTACCCCTTTCGGTGATGATTAATCTCTATTATTTCCTGGTGCGTCTCTTTTGCATTTTGGTTAAAAGCCTAGCGTCTCTGCTGTTCCAGTCTCAGCTTTGGAATATGGACGCCCGGAAGTCCGCCTACCCCCGAGTCCAGGAGCGACTCGACGGCATAGGCTTCACAACGGCGTCCTGACAATCTGGGTCCGGGACTGGGAGCCTCTGGTCTCGTTATCTGCCTTTTATTCCCCTGACCCTTTGCCGGATCCCGCTCTGGCTTTTAACTCTGTTTGTCTGTGTCAGGATGGATCACCCGGATTTGGACATTGGCTTTCCCTGGTTTATCTTACGGACTCCCTTGGACTAGTTTGCCTAGGACCACTCCCCCCCCCCGAACACCAGTGCACCTTGGACACGCCCCCCTGTTCTAGCCCCTAACCTAGTCTTATTCCCTGTGCTTTCTCACTCCCTTCCCGATTGTGCTGTCTGCATAGGGTCCTGAAAGACACATAGTTCATGACACATAGTTTCCTCTTGTCCTGAATAGTAGAAGCACACAAGATTCTTCTGCTTCTCAAAAAAATTAGTTGCTTATAATAAATAAAGTTACACTGTACTGATTTTTTAATTGAACAGAAACAGTTTCAATTTCTGTTCAGTTTCAATTTCCTTGGAAGTGTGCTGGAAAATTGATGGAAATCAAATAAGGAAATCAAGATTAATAAAACTGTTTGAATAATCTCAGCTGGTTCTTGGAATGTTTTACTTCCATTGCTTTAAAATCCTTTATCGGGACTAATTTGTTTACTGAACTACGGTCAAATGTTGCTGCACTCTCAGCTGGCAATGAAGAAATATTATTCCTAAGGCAAATAATTTGGATCTATACAAAGCCAATGAAGATAATAAAAATCATTGTCAGATCACATATCAAATGTGCATCAACAACATAGCCACACATATATTTAAAATTACAAGTGAGTTCACACTGTTCTAGTAGGATGCAGTACTTGATATGTTGGCTAGGGGGCAGTAGAGCACTGAGATTCACACAATTCTGTATAAGATTTTTTTTTAAGTTCACATAAAATGCTTTGGATGGAAGGAGAAGAAAAGAATGGTTTAACTTGAGAATATAAATGAAGAAACACCTCATTATGAGACGTTTACCTGTTTCATTTTTAATCCCCACATGGAGCCACTAACGTCGATGACAAACACAATGTCCTTGGGAAGAGGGGAAAAGTAGGTGGGGGCAAAGAAATGCACAAAATACCCATCTGAGACCTGTCAGAAACAGAACATTAAACATTTTTAACATTAAAACACATTATAGTTATACTTACACGACCATATATTAATATTAATAGCAAAAAATGTCATTTTAACATGCCTTAAAAGCCCAGACCCCATATAAGGATAATTTACCATAAGTTCTCCACTGCTGGTGTCTCGATTGACATCATATCCCACAGTGAAGACTCCATTGATTGCAGTGGAAGAGCAATTTTCACATTTCCGCTGCATCGTCAGGGTAGGCTTGAAGGATACATGAGCCTGAAGAAGCAGGATAGCATTCCCATAAAATGCCTGAGAACTCTAATTGATTACTGGTTTATCAGGTTGACACTTTAATCCAAGACAATTTATTTTTTCACCCATTTGTTCAACTGGCAATGTGATTGGGACAATCGAGAGATGTATAACCCTGACCGCTGCTCTACTGTTGCATAACAACATCAGGATAATCGTGAATACGGTTTCTTTAGTACCTGCTTCATGTTAATTAGTCTGAGATGGACTCTGCAGAAGCAGTAGCCCTATTTCCCTTTCAGTAGCTGGAAGTGAGCTGACTGATGTGAAGATAGTGTACTAGCTGGCTGAGGAAATGAAAGTGTGGGAAGAGAATCTGACCTCCTCCCGAAATACTGTTAAATAACATGATTTATTAATAAAATCCTTCTAAACAGGAAACGTCATCCTCAAATATAGTAAAACAAGTTCCGTGAGAGCAGTGGATGAGGAGCAGTGTTACAAAGCAACTAATGCGTTATTTACATTACATTTTATCTCTGTCATTTGCTGTAAAACAGGGGTTACAACTTGAAAAAACAAAGATTTCCTGATTACCTTCTGTTTTAATTGGGTTATTTTAGTAATTCCATCAAACTGTTTCCCAAGACTGTGTGTACTTTCAATGAAAGCAAAGTCAGATGGCTCAAAAATGTAGACATCAACCTGGGGAAATATATTTGTAATTATTTAGTGGTTAATACTGTTTTACAAAATAATTATTATTTATTATTTACTTATTTACACAAGGACACATGGTCTTTAACTGTGTATTTCTTTTCCTTACAGCAATGATGGGTGAATTACACAGCACCTCATTTTCATTAATAAGCAAGTCACACAAAAGAAAACATGTAATATTTTATGAAGCGTGCTATCTTTGGGCTGTAAGAAATAAAGTTTAATAACATATGTTGCACTGTTTATATTTTTCTATTAAACATGAACAATTTTTATAGAACTTTTTTATTTGTTCTGCTTGTCAGTTTTCTGTACGCAAACACAACCAAGAATGGAAATCATATATAACAAATACACTGAACTGGAGCCTCACAAGCTGTTTTCAGCATTGAGGTTTATGAACATAAACCCTGTATTTCCAAAAGAGGAGACTGTTAAATCTTAAATTGTGTTAAATACTCTGATCTTTAACAGGAATAACACAGTAGGCTTGTACCTGAAAGTTTTTCACCAGTCTGCCAGGCTGTAGATTAACATTGTATTCATATCTTCCAAGTCTCCTTTGCATCATTTCCTGATAGTGCAGCTCAAACTCAATCCTGCTCCCTGATGGAACATTCACCTCACATTTGAATGTTTCCATATCCTGAGCATTTGTTCTGAAACCATCAGTGGAAAACAAATTCTTTACTCAGTCTAATGTAGTCCGTGTCTTTTTTTAAAAAAAAAACTGATTAAAAATGAAAATAAAACTATTCTATACAATACAAATCTTGACAGTGAAAAATTACATTCCAATCAGATGAATTATTGATTTTTTTTCTGTGTAACGCAATAAATCTGTAACATGAGATTATTTCATTCAAGGTGTCTTTTTTTCTTAATTGTCACAGAGTTCCAATTTGATTATGGAAACCTTCCTATGTGAGAAATTGTAATGGTTTTCCATGTCTCAGGTCCTTAAAAATGAGAAACATTCTTAGACAATTATTTTTTAAAGGATAGAAAGGAGTAAGTCAAATAAAATTAATATATTTTTGCTCTGGTAGGACTCAGAAGGAGCTCCTTGTGGTTATTGTATTGAAATATATAGCATTTATATATAAATAGTATATTTTCATAAGAGAAATATCACTGTAGAGTTTACTGCGGTACAAAGTCTTTGTTCGACCTTGAACATTGTCTTACTCAATGTAAAATATCAATGTCCCACAGAATTACATAATAAAGTGTTAGACACATGTATTTTTATTAATAATGGATTAATCTGAAGTAATGGTCAATTTAGTACAAAAAAATGGTACAATTTGATTGGTGTGGTACTGCTACATTAGCCTTATCTTACAGTCATTTCTGAAAATTCTTAGCAAAACTAAGTGTAGGGTTTCTATATTGTCTACATACAAACCCAAGAGATTTTACATAACATCACAATTATGCAAAGACTTTAAATACCTTGCTGAACATTTATAGTGGCAGGAATTTGGGAGCGTTATAAGAAAAAAGATTTGTTATTGCACAATGGGTTGACGTAATACAGGTATGCTAGTCATTATGCACTTGATGGTGTCATTGAGTGTAATGTGTCATAACATGAAATGATTTTATAAAGGTTAAGAGTGAATATTGTTGTACCTTACAATCCCAGCCGCCTTTCCCCTTGCCCTTGCTTGGCTATACAGGTTTCTGGCAATGGTCTTATCCTTCACAGAACCAACAAATACTATTCCATTCACATTCCTGCAAAGACAGAAGAGCATGACGCTTAGAGCAGTCCATTATTGTGAAGACACAATATTGTGTCTGTTGTGGTACAGTCAAGGGAATGACAATGATCGTCAGCAACAATGTGGGGCAGTGGGCTTGTAACTGGAAGGTTGTGCGTTCAAATCAGAGGAGTTACTGATGCTGTATCCTTAAGCAAAAAAGCTGCACCCAAAATCTTTCCAGTAAAATACTCAGCTGTGTAAATGGGTGCGAAAGTGTCAGACACTAAGTAATCAATTAGACACCAATCTGACAAAAACTCTCAACATTAGAAGTCTATTGTCCGTAGTCTATGCATTAGGAAAGTTTGAAACACTTTGGGTATGTGTAACATAGGAATATAAGACCAATACACCATTATTTACACAATTGTACTGTATTAATTGAACTTACATGGTAAAATTGGAGATGAAGGCAGTTTTTGGTATCTGTACATCGAAGGCGATACTTTGGGCATGATGGGCTGAGTTTATAACTTGGCTGTGGATTGAGGTGTGAGCAAAACGTGATGTAATCCTAGCCTCCACTTTATAACGAGGGATAAGGATGCCATCTTCAGTTTTAGTCTAAAAAAACAGTTAAAACACTGAATAACGGTAATATGCATTCTATGATATTTTCACATCTGAAGCTCTATGGCAGACAGGGGAAGACTTCAGAATTAGCAGTTAAAACATTCTTTGGAGATGTGTCATAAAGTTTTCGAAGGCAGACTGTAAGTGGTTTTATTATCTTGATTAAAGTTCAGAGAACAGAGGCAACTATTTTTATCTGAGAAACTGTTAAGTATATGATCTCTGAATAGATCTACTGTTAAAAATATTCAGCTGAAAATGTTTTAGTTTATCACTGCCTTATGAACTGATGCCTCAACAATTCTTCTTTCTATTAACCTGTTTGTCTTTTAATTTAACTGTTTAATTTCAAGTTTATGAGGTATTGTTACTAACACCAATTTGGAATAAGAAGGTCTCCCTATAATATTTTTTATAGCTTTCATCCTGGAGCTCATATTCATTTTACTGTTTGAATAGACATTTATTTTATCTGAAAAACATTATAATTGTAATCAATAAAAAAGAGTCATTTTGAATGATAAGCAACATTTGTATCACATGTATATTTCATGCAGAATACTCACTTGGGTTAAATTTCCTTACTGAGCTTGCTTCACTATTTGAATACTGCAACTATTTAGTCATTACTACAAAATGCTTTATTCTAAATACAACATAAACAATGAGGTATACAGAATAACTGCATAACATTAATTTTTATGAGAAAGGGCATCAAATTTATAAGAAAGGGCAACAAATGTCTTTGAAAAATCTAAAATATTCAGATGACAAAATACTGAAATTTCCAAGAATCAGTTCCTAAAAGCAAAACAGTGCAGGTATTTCTCTGCAAAGTCAATAACCTGTCTGTCACTACATTCTCTCCAAACACTGATTGATTTCTAGATAATTGTTATCTTTCCCACAGTGTTCAGGTTAAGCAACAAGAAAGAAAATACCTCCAGTTCTTCTTCTTCAGGACTAGTGATTACGCTCCTCTGAAAATCAAAAATGATAAAATACTGAAAAAACTCAAACAAAAAACCTAATACCTTCATCGTTTACAAATTGTTAACTCTGGCCAGGTCTATCTTTGCTGGGAAACGCTAACTTGATTGTATTTCAGTATAACATGTTCCACTGTAGATCATAATGCCTCTTCAATAATACAATTTGTGAGTTGTCCCTCTAATAGAATAGCAAATGTCTGATCAATACCTGATGCAACAGAAATGTTTCGCTACAATTCAACTTGTTTACTTATCAGATCTATAAAGACTTTGGTCATTACTTTAAGTGATAATTTCCTCTGGAGAAATATTAGCTGTGAGTGTCAATAATTGCCACAGGATTATATTGTAACTAATGTAAGAAATGTATGGCAAGTATGTAGAAAAGTGAATATAAATGAAAAAAGAAGGACATATCAACTTCAATAATTTGTATATTATAACTTGCTGGCCTAGGACTATTTCCAAACCCCTTAGCTTCTTTTAATCACCATACATGAACACATGAATAGTAATGTGCTTTTCACTGTATCATTTAGTTCAGAAAAACAACAGTACAATTCCAAAGAAGAAAAGAGAAAAAACTAATCTATATCTAAACATTTTGAACACAGATGTATGTTATAAACAACTTGACAATATCTCAAGTAGTAAAAAACAATTTGTCACATGTAACAAACCTACCTTGTTTTTTTCAAATCGATTGATTAGTCTTGGTAAGCTTCCTTTTGACTCACTCTCCCCAAGCTGCGAGGACTGGAAGAGGAAGAAAGTGCTTCTTATAAACTGGAACATTTAGAATCCATTAGATCTTATATGAAAGCTTGATATAATTAATACAGTTATACATCATGTTTATAAATTGTGAGAAAGAATTCCTTTTAAAACAAGACAGCAGAACTTGTTGAAACATGTTATAGTAATAGCTACTTTGGCAGTATATTTGTGTATTTTATTTTTACTTCACAGGTATATAACCCAGACCCATAAAGACTATGGGTTTACATTGCTTCTATAAAAAGATAGATATTTTAAAAAAAACATGTTTTAGATATCAGCATCTTAGTCTCCCCATGGAGCTTTTATTTCAAGTAGAATACTCACTTCAGTTAAGTATGTCTCCTCCAAAGAGCTTCCATCTATGAAAAAATGAAAATTTTCAACTTTTGAAACAAATAATAGGAAGATTAAAACCGCAAGGTGTCTCATCTTGCCAGAACTGCCTCCCCACTGTGACTACACACAATGACAGAAGCACTCTCTCCCTGGTCAGAGCTGAAAGTGAACCAATGAACAAAGGTTAAAATTGACTGAGGATCTCTTTGCATTTGGCTGTGGTCAATATTTGTTGTGGTCCACACAAAAAACAAATGACATTTGAACTAAGGATGTGCAAACAGAAATTTGTTTGTGCCAGCAACCTAGATAAAACCTGACAGGTTAGCTTCAGCCTATGGAACTACTTCCAGTCATCTGACTGCATCCAGTTATTTTCTTCATTTTCATTTCTTAATACCTGCCTGTGCTTTCTATGATCAAAGCAAAAAAATGGTCACCGCCATGCATCTCAACAATTTTCTACAATAAAAGCTTCAAACTTGAATGTAGATGTTTTCCTGAAGTTCAGAGTAGATTAATTGATAAAGACGGATAAATTAAGTTTAAACAATATCTTTCTTGTGGGTGGCATGGTGATCTTACAGTTCTTGGATGCTAGATTCAATTCCACATGTGGGGCCTATGTGTGTGGAGTTTGTATGTTCTCGCTGTATTTGCATGCATTTCTGCTGGGTGTTTCAGTTTCCTTTCACAATCCAAAGACATACCTGTATGTTAATTGGCTTCTAGGACATTGGCCCTGGTGTGAGTGTTTGTGTTTGTGTCTGTCTGCCCTGTGATGGATTGATATGTCTTCCAGGGCTTATCCTGTCTTGTGCTCGTTGCTTGCTGGGATATTCTCCAGTTTCCCCACAACCCTGAATTGAAAAAAAAGCTTTTAGAAACTGGATGGGTGGTTCCTTCCACCACAGGTTGTATTTTTGTATTTATTGAACTTATTTATATTTATTGAACTATTGAACAAACATCACACAGGTGTTATCACAAAAATTGAACCATGAATTAGATTCCCCATAAGACACTCATGAGACTCATTAAGTTGTTATTATCATGCTGAATAAATATCTCAGGCGTGGTCTCCAGGAAGGTCACCGAATTTGAAGGTATTTGTTCCACGTCTTGGCTTGAAATCTGCTTCCACTATGATGACAGGCAATACAGACAACACCATCAAGAACAGGAGCGGCCACAACTAGTCCTGGGGAGTCGCTGCTGGAACAGTTTGAACAACTTCACAGTGATCAAGTAGGTAAATTGTTAAATTAAGTTCCAGATCATTTGTGACTAAACTTGAAGACCCTGCTGTCTTTAAGGACCAACATTCACTTAAAGCAAATAGGTCTCCAACACCAGGGTTGAAGACTCTTGAAATAAGGAATATTTAGTCTGCAGTCCTAGTCTACTGGTTCGTATAGGTTTACAGGGATCGAAAAATAAGTTTGTAAAAACTTGTAATGACATGTTTATGATCAATTAAAAAGGTGATTTGAAAAAAAATAATTTGGAACTCATATCGAATCAAAAATATGGTTATACTTCAAGGATCATGATTCCATTGATTGAACAAATGACTTGCTTAACTTACAAATGTTACCATTTTTTTAGAATCCGGTGATTTGCAGGACTCTAGAAATCTAGAAAAAAGCGATCTCCATTATTGTACAAGATTAAACATGTAATTTAGAAACCTAGCAAGAAGCCACTCTTGGGAGACAAATAAAAACACAATATGAGAACGGGCCGGTGATATATACTGTAGCTTTTCAGCCCCTTTAAGAGAGTTGGCTGGGAGAAATTGTCGGTGCCTTCCAGACAATTGTGACTTCCTCTCTTACACTACATCTAGTCGTCGCTAGGTGGAGGTCAAAACGTGACTAGGGCTTCTATGCAAAAAGCATAAAGAAAAATGGTGCATTTCAACATTTATTTTACATACAGTACATTGTGCTGTTCAGGCTGCGATGTCCGAATTTGAATAAATACCTTAACAGCAGTTTAATTGACAAAATAGTAGGTGTCTGCAATGCGTCCGACATGGTCCGCTTTCTAACTTACACCTTGAATGAAACAATGAAATGCAAAGCAATCAGTAAGACCCTTAGCGATTTGTGCAGTCACCACAAAAGTTCCATCTTGCTCTGTTGTGTGCTGAAGATGTACAGGAGTACATTTATGTTTTTATTTAATACGGCATTTTATTATTACATTGTGTTATAATTTTAGATTACACATTTTATATCCTGATTTATGGAAACAACTTCCACCTAAAAATGTGTGTAAAACGATTACTGGGTGAAGATTGCTTTAAATATAAACAAATGCTCGGATTTCTTAAAGCCAGATTGGGAACGTTATTGAAATTGCCTTCAAATGAGAAGAAAACTAACCGGCGAATGTCAGCTGTTTGCTGAGTTAATACTTCAATTCCAAGTCAGCTTGTCTGAGTGCCCAGCACTTAAGCATCTGCGTGTGGGCGGTAACTTGGAAGAGTTTCTAGTCCTCTGTATGAGAGCTATTTTGTTTCACACCTCTCCATCTCGGATTCTGTTCTGTATGAATTTCGCGTTGTACTCTTAAACTCTTTAATGAGCACATGGTCTCGCTGTCACCATGACTGTTCTTATTTTGCTGTTGTGTTTAAATCCTTTAGTCTTGGGTCAATATGACGATCCCGAGTCTTCTGAGGATGACATCTTCACGGAGGTTGAGCCAGATAGTGTGAGTTATTTAAAATGTGTTTACACCGATAACCTTGTTACTCGTCAATTTAAAGGATATAACAGGCTTGGAATATTCTGTCTTTTTTTTTTCTTACAGGGTTTTCAAAGAGTGCCAAGACAGGCAAACAGCAAACACCAAAAAAAGGTAAGCAGAATTGAAAGTACAGTACATAAGACATTTATTTATTTACAGAGATCCTCTAACGCAAGATAGTTTTGGTGTTTGTGTTATTAGTTTTGTTGTTATTCACACAATCCACAATTTATATGCAATTTATTTAGAATTTTCATTTGATGAGAACTGTCTGTGAAACACTATAAAGAAAAGAAAAGTTTTTACTCTCAGTCCATGAAAGTCCTCCTATGACTTTAAGGAGTGTGATCCTATCCCACCCCTGCCCATGTGTGGGAGAATTAGAGAAACTGAAGTGTGTTAGCTCTGATGTGGTTTTATTTAGATCAATAAAGGATTTCTTATCGTAAATATATAATTTATTATAATTGCTGTTATATAATTGCTGTTAACAACATATTGCAAAGGAATGACAAAGAAAGAAATTGAAAGGTATTGAAAGAAATAGGATTCTCTTAAGATCTAATAATGCTTTATAAAAGCTTTGAACAACCTGTATGTGTCCTTTTAATAAGAACTCAAAAATATTTTTGTGGTTGCCTACTGACCAAATGTATAAACCAGTTGCAGTTTCACTCCAATTTCCAATCTATTCTTTCTGTGCCTAATCTTTCAGGAGAGTAAGCCCCATATTCAGGATTTCACTGTGAAAACCACCATCATCTCTCGATATGCTTTCACTGCTGTGTCCTGCACCATGTTCAACAGATTATCGGCTGCAAAGGAAGGTCTTTTCCAGATACAAATCCCTGCTGCAGCCTACGTTTCGAACTTTACTATGTGAGTATCCAGAAGACGTATTCATTTTAGCCAAGATGAAAAATGTAATTATATGACTAATGCTTACTGAGAATAAGGAGAAGCTGTCCAAGTTCAGTGTCAGTGCTGAGATCAGACCTTGCAATACTTCAGCTATCTATAGGTTTGGTTACATTGTTTTTCTACATGTTGACTTAAGACTGTGAATTGTTGATTTGGTCTTTTTTTTCCCCATTTTGTGCTTTCTTTCTTTTTTTCTCACATCTTTAAAGTTGCTATTTCGGTCCATGCTGCATGCCTGATAAAACCTCTGAACTTGTTGCCTAGTCTCTTTTCCTGAGGTGAACCTTACAAGTGAATTCTACCGAGTCACCCAGCCAAGATCAATAAAGTGACTAGCCACACAGAGGACTGTCAAATTATCACTGGGCAATTTTCCACCACCAGCCCAAGGGAGCGATCTTAGCGTGAGAGCTGCAAATCCATATGGATTTGCAGGCCAGCAGTCACATGGAGGTCTGACCCATCCCTCTCATAGCATGTGCTGTGTAAGGTGCATGACTGAGACTTCAGGCTTATGTGTATTTTTTTTCATTTTACATTTCAGGATAATTGGTGGAAGAGTTTACCCAAGTGAAATGAGAGCAAAAGAGAAAAAATCTAAGGGGATCAGGAAGAAAGGATTGCCTAATCCTGGGAAAGATGGCAAAGTGGGAAAAAGGTATGGATGTCAGAACCAATGACAAGACACCACTGAAAACCTGTCATAATCTTCTTAACAACTCTGCTGATGTGTGAAAACCTGATGGTTTTCATAGTGGTCTGTACTGGAGTGTACATTACAATTGGAACATAAACTGAAAATACTGAATTTTAATAGAATATTTTAAAAAGATAAGAGCACTTGATATTATGTATTTAGTGTTATGCATTTATGGTATTTTAAGCAACTGTAAATGGCAGTTAGAGGCCATTCTGTCTTTACTATATTCCAATATTTATATTAGTATTAATAAATATTACAAGTATGATTGTTTTAATGATACCACACCCAGCTCCATTCAGTTGAAAATAATGTTGTCAAGACATCTACTCCAGGATTGACATTAACAGGCTATGAGATTAATGATCAGGGTTCATGAGACTTGGCTGTCTTGTTAAGTGAAAAGCAGCCACCATATCCTGTAATTAGCAGATTTATAGGGTTGAGAATAAAGGTGACTCTAAAGGTTGAGATGATGTCACATGCCAAAATACAAACACCATTAATTTGGAAATTATGGGTTTAAATCTGAGTGAAGAGAAATGCTTAATACCTCCAGAGACCCAACTAATGCATTTCTGTATTAGAATTCTTAATTTTATCAAAGCGTTGTAGTTAACTCAATAGAGGAAAAATTGGGATGAAAACATTTTCAGTCCTCAAAAAAGTTTCCAATATTTGCTTTGTCAGCCTTTTCTTTTGTATTTCAACTCCTGTTGTAAATCCTGACATCTCAGGTGAATTGGAACACTGTTTTTCCCCATGTAGCAGACAACCTGTACCTGCAGGATATCTAATAAAACACCACAAAACATGGTTATTTTGCTACTTGTTTTTTAAGAACCCAGCATTTTCAGGCACTGTTAACAAATGGTTCTGGTCTTGGCTCTTGTTCCCTTATGTACTAATTAACACTTTTTATATACTGTATGTTAATGTCTTTGCTACTCAATTGTCATTTTAGAGATTCTGGTCTTCTAGGTAAGATAAGGAAATAGCTTGTAAATCTAGAAGCTAAACGTCTACAGTTGTGTGGTCAAGTAGTCCACATGCAAGCCCAGGAAAGCAGGAGGGAATATAGAGATTTATCCTGAGGCTCAAATAGTGGAGCAGGCAGTCTAGGTTGATGGGACAAGGCGAGTTTGTCTGGAAGAAATGAAAGCTGTAAAAGCAGCACAAATTGCATTTGAACCAGATGGGCACCAATTATGAGGAAGGTATGTGTATAGTGTAATTGAGGAGTATTTAACCTAAGGAATTAGGGGACAGGGAGTTCAAAGTGCTACTCTGTTGAGGTGAGGAGTTATAAGATATCACTAAGAAAAAGCTTAAACCAAATCGCAGATCTATTCCTTAACATTAGCGGCATGAGGAGTAATTGCAAGAAATTAAACTTCATTTACAGGAATGAATATAAAATTAAACAGTGTTTTTATTTCTCAAAAAATGAATTGCCAATCTACAGTATGTGTGTTAAACTGGAAAAAGGAACATTTAAGAGCTTAACATTAGGTGTATACTATAAACTACATACTGAAGACACGGATGCAAGTAGATAACTTTATAATGAAATGTGTAAGATACATAACAAAATGTGGAATTATTGGGCAATCCCACTTTTATACATATACATGTAACGGGGAAAACTGAAGCTGGTATGATTGAAATGGTCAATAATGGC